TCCCACTCAGCTTTGACAAATACATTTAGCCTTTACTATAATATTTGATTTATTTCTTGTAAAGGGGTGAATGGACCTGTGATAAAGATAAGAATTCAAGAAGTAAAATTATTTGGAGAAAGCTTATTTGCAAAGAGCTGATGTGAATGATGTAACTTTTAATTAGTATGTTAAGCACTTCACAAAAGTTTTGGGTTTTCACAGCAAAAGAAAACTCCCTGTCCAAAGCATTTAGACTGGAATTCATCCCACTGAAGTTCAAACCCTGAAATTGTTTGCTCTCCCTCAATATCTGCTGCTTCCCCATTGATAACAGATGGAAGCTGGAGCAAATACATTTATCACTTGCAACATGCCTTCCATGTGTGGATCACGCTGAACTTGCCACTGCAGATTTAAGCCTCAGTTAAATGTCTAAAGATTAGGGAGATACTTGTGAGCTTTCTGGACATTCCAAGTGAAGATAAAAGGGTAAGAAATAAGAAAAGCACATCTGGATCAGGATTCCAGCAGTGGGCACTGGTGGCACTGGGGTTGTGTGTAAACTGGAGCTGTGAGCTAATACAGACTCATCCACCGAGCTCTGGGCTTGAAACTGCTGCAATTCCTGGGAAAGACAACTGGAATGAGACACTGAAGGTTTCCCAGTTATCCCACAGCAGCACTGAACCTTGGCCATGGGCTGTTCTGTCTTTGGAGAGGTTTCTGCTGGGATTTCAGTGGAGGGAGGGAAGTGACCCACAGCTGCTGAACAGGGAAAGGAGGAAGTTCAGGAGCTACTGAAGAAATGTAGTTTTGTGGTTGCAGTTAATACAGTGAAAAGGTGTCAGGCAGGACACAGTGGAGTCAGAGATGAGTAAGAAAGTCAGGAAAGGGGCCACAGTGTGACTGACAGGTGAGAAAACTGGCTGGGCCTCTGAAATGTGCTGAAAGGAAGAACAACTTAAACACTAATGGACTGTGTAACTGCTGTTTAGCAGTTGTAATCTGGTGTAAATCTAGGTTATCATAGAACCCTTACTGGGCACTTCTGTAAGTCCCCATTATATTCACATATTATTTGATTCTCTACTGGAAATCAAGTATTACATGGAAGTATATCCATATATATAATAATATAAATAAAGAAGTTCATATCCATGGGAGTAAGTTCCACTGTAAGCAGCTGAAACAATTATGTTTTATTAATTGTGTCATTATATGTGTTTATATCTGTTACCCATTAATCTTTGAATCTCTACACCAGTACTGTAAATTCTTCTGTTTTCCCTCTTCAGCATTCCTGTCAGGCACTGTAGCAGTTCCCCAGCCAGCCTGGATCCACAGGAATGCTGACAGGCCAACGATTATGTGCATATGGATTGCTCAGTTCCCTGCCACAGTTAAGTAGTTCCTGCTTTTCTATTCATAAGGGGTCCAGTTGGACTCTCTCTCTCCTCTACAAGGCTCCCAACTTGCCTGGATATCTTCACAAGTCAGATCACAGATGTCCAAGTAGAAATCAATGCTGCCATTCACTGAATTGTATAATTGTTGCCTTTTCACAGTGAAGAGTTCTTGATAAGATGCAGTGCAACAACAACAAAAAAGTAAAATCAGTGCATTTAATGTTGTCATATTCTGAACTGGGCTTAGATGAGACAGTTAAATGAAGTTAAATAAGATCTTTCCTACAGAATCAGAAAGTGCAGCTAAGCTTCCCTCCTTATTCAGTGCATCTTTTTTTCATTTTGAGAGGGGAACAAAAGTGGGGAATGTGCTGGAGGAAAGGAGCACCATCTAGTGTTTAAAGAATAACGCTGGAGAAGGAAACATTGCCATCAGTTAAAGCAGAGACCGTGGAATTCTTTGGCTGGCTTGTTTGCATACAAGAAAACAAAATATTCTGGAAATGTAACAATATGCTGTTCTTCCTGGGCATTGTGGTGCCTGCAGGATGACACGTCAGACTGCATCAGGAACAGCAATTTGGAAAAATATTCTACCTGTTTGTCTGTGTTGGTTAAAGGAAAAGCTGAGGAAAGTTTTTTGTTCCCCACCTCCAAATAATTTAAATACTAGCAGGCCAAACCCACTCAGCCTTTGCAATAATGTGCAATACAGGAGGTGAGTGCTGTACACAACCCTTGGCAGTGACAGTCAGGGGTAACACACTGCAGGAACCTGCAAAATGTTTATCAAAATGCAGCAAAAGCAGCAGTTAAACCAACATCCCAGCAGGCAGGTCTGGACTGACACTGGGGGGGGGGGGAGTGTTGTCTGTAGTTCCTTTGTTCTGGGAGGCAAAACCCGACAGATGTTCTGTGCAAGCTCTGAACTCTGGGGTTCATCTCTAACTGAATCCCTGCTTCTGAAAAGTTATCAGACAAGAGACAAAGTCATTTTTGCTTTCTGTTTTGTGAAAGGAAGCAGTGTATGCTCTCAGCCACTCTAATTTTGGAGCGTGATCTCACTTTCCCAAAAGCGCAGTACAGATGTGCTGCTTGTAATTTATTGGTGTTTCCTGTGCTTCTGTAAACATGACAGCATGAGCCTGGCACACACACCAGCTGGGCTCTCTCTGCCTCCACAGTAATGAGAGACTCTCTTTTTTCTTGCATATTTACCTGTTTTTTCCAGAATAAAACGTGATCTTATTCGAGAACTGTGAATGCTTACATTCATTATAAGATAAAGCCATTACAATTATATAGAGTTAGACCAGTCTCTCATTTTTGAGAGTAAATACATTTCTATTTTCATGTGTAGTAGATGGCCTTGTCAGCCAAAAGTGCTACTACTAAAATATTAGTTAATTTTTGGGAGAGAAGAACACATCAGAATAAAAGGGAATTTCAAGTATTTTCATGTCTGACAAGCTTTGTGGTCCTTTTGGGGGTATAACCACTGTCTGTGTATGTGTAACATTGACTTGCCTGTTGCACTGTGCCTCGAAGTTATGTGCACCCCAAAAGCTTCAGTGGCCTTTTGCCTCTGGGCAGGGGGGAAATCCTGTCTTGTGATATTGTTATTTTCATTTGTGTTCTAGACATTTCTTAGCAACAGAACGTCATCTGTGTCACCTGTGCATCCAGGACAGGAAAACATGAAAGGAAGAAGCAGGTAAAGGAAAAAGTATTGTTTTCATTTATATTCACCACAACAACTTAGACATAAGTTGCTGTTATTTACCAGTCAACATCTGGATTTGTTTGTGGAAAAAAAAAGGCCTACATGAAATAAGGAACTTATTTTCCAAGAAGGGGAACTTTCTGTTTACATGAATCATTTGTGAAATTAGGGGGTTCTCCTACCGTATGTTGTAAGGAAGCTGAACAGAAAATTGCAAAAGAGAAGTAGTGCCCCCAAAGTTTTTGAGGATTTTGGATCCTCTGGTTCTGGGATTTTCTGCAGGACATAATCATTCACAGCCAGCAGGAGTCAGGGGTGCTCTTGAGGCCAGGCTTCACCGCACTGATGAGATCAGGGGTAAGTGCTGGGGCACTTCAACTTGTCTAAACGACTGAGATAAGGAACCAGCTGCTTCTAAAGAGAATCAGTATTTTCTCTGTGTACCTTGCCAAGAAAGATGCCACCAGAAGAGCAAGAATACTCTGTATTTGGGGAAGAAGATGCTGAGAAGTATATATGGAAAAAACATTACTGACCTGTTAATAAAGCAGGATCAGCCCTTCTTACTGTCTGCATTTACTAAGAAGTCCTCACCTTTTGACAGCAGAATCACAGAATCTGATATTCTAGCCTGAAAAAAAGGGGAAAAAAGTTAGTCTTAGTTTGTGATGTTTAATCTTTTAGTGGATCCAACTTCATGTCATGTGAGCTGACTGGGGAGATAACCTGCACACCTCAGTTGCTGTAAGGAATCACTCCTGTTTCTCTGCCAACACTGGTTATCTCCTCCTTCCCTTATCAGTAGGTGATACCTGGAGGGGAGGACTCCAGGAATTCTGCAGTCCCTTATGGTAACCTCCAGGTAGGACCCATGGACAATCACAGTGAATATTCAGGTGTTTTATATCCTTTACATCCTTTAGCAAGGAATGAAAATGTTGTCTGGCTGATGAGATGGTTACTGAGAAATGAATCAAGGCATTTAGAAATGAGGACAGAGTAAGAAGCTCTGGGGAATTTAGGATTTCTGGGTAACTTAAACTTCCAAACCGTCAGAATTCAGTCAGATGAACCTATTTCATAAAGAGCATTAACCTAATAAAAATACCATTGCAGACATCAGCGCCAGCCATTGTAACAACTATTTTGACAGCAACCCTTTTGTGCTGTATTTAAGGGTGAGAGTGAAAAGCTGAATGTCATTAAACATGGAACAGTCTCGTCCCAGTTTTGGATGAATGTGCCACATCTGACAGTTTTCTGTATTTGTACCCAGAGCATGTTTGAAGGAAATAGGCACACACTGTGTTCCAAACATAAGGAAAAATGATGTGAAGTTACCAGTTTGATGTCTTCACAGTGAAGTTTTCTATTGCAGAAGTTCTCTATCACTAACACCAGAAGTTCCCTGGAGGGAACAATTATATAAAAACACAGTCTGGTCCGTGGTCATTCACGAGTTTAAACCCCGTAAGCTGCAGCTTTTCACCCACTGATGCCGCCTGCATTTTCCGTACTTTCCCCCACTCCTTCGGCTGCTGCTGCGTTGTCAGGAAGGGAGAAGGCTCGGGATGGGAGACGACACGAGAGTGCGGGAGAAGGGCGTTAATCTGATCCTGGGCTAAGGAAGCATTTGGAGAATGGTTTTTGGGCGGTCTCAGCAGTGTAACAGCGCACGGTCCGTGTGGAGCGCGGGGAGGCAGCGCCTTCCCCCCTCAGCAGAGCGGCTGCCGGGCAGGGCCGGGGCCGGGGCCGGGTGCCCCCGCTCGGTGCCGGGGCCGGGGCGGGTCCGTGCGGTGCCGGGGCGGGGCGGCCCCGGGGCGGGCCCGCACTACAAGTCCCGAGAGGCCGCGGGCCGGGCCGGCCCCGCTCCCTGCGCGGCCGCGGCGATGCCGGCGGGCTCCGAGGGCGAGGACGGCCCGGCCGGGGAGCAGCCCGGCCCCGGCGGCCCCAAGCTCTGCGGGTACCTGCAGAAGCTGTCGGGGAAAGGGCCCCTGCGCGGCTTCCGCACCCGCTGGTTCGTGTTCGACCCGCGCCGCTGTTACCTCTACTACTTCAAGGGGCCGCAGGAGCCGCTGCCGCTCGGGCACATCGACATCGCCTCCGCCTCATTCAGCTACCACCAGCCCGAGGCGGGCGCGGCCGCGCCGGGGGACGAGCCCCCCGCCTTCGAGGTGCACGGGCCCGGCGGGGCCGTCGCCGTGCTCAAGGTAGGCCCGGGACTCATCCTCGACCCGGCCCGGTGAGACCCTGTCCCCGGTCCTGCCCCGTCCCAGTCCCCGTCCCCGCCCGGTCCCCCTCCCGGCCCAGCCCGTGCCCTGCCCGCGGGTTTTGCCCGCAGCCGCCCCGCGCTCTGCCCCCGCTGTGCCCCGGCGCGTTGGCACAGGCAGGGAGGTGCCGCTTCGCAAACAGGGGAGCGGCACTGCCGGGCTGTCCCCGCTGTGTGCTGCGGGTCCGCGTGTCCCCCTTTTCCCCCGGGGGGTCCGCGTGTCCCCCTTTTCCCCCGGGGGGGTCCGCGTGTCCCCCTTTTCCCCCGGGGGGTCCGCGTGTCCCCCTTTTCCCCCGGGGGGGTCCGCGTGTCCCCCTTTTCCCCCGGGGGGTCCGCGTGTCCCCCTTTTCCCCCGGGGGTCCGTATCCCCTTCCCCGGTCCGTGTCCCCAGCGCCCCTGTGAGGGAGGACACGCCGCTGCGGAGCGCGGTGCGGGACGGGCTGAGGGGCTTCTGGGGGGGAAACGAGTCGGGGGGAGGAAAAGATTTCCGAAGAAATCTGGTGGGTTGTGGTTTTGGAGGCAGAGAGGGAGTGGCCGGGTCTCAGTGTTGGGGTGTTTATTTTGCAAGGATGGTGCGTGGCACAAGTCTGTGTCTGGGTTGCATTGGGAGGAAGGAAGAGGAGGGAGAATTGTTTCCTGAGAGTAGGAGAGGCTCCTTATCTGTAGAAGGACTCGGACCTTCGTAGGGCGAGAGGCGAATGTGGGGATTGTTTTACATATCTTTCTTCTATTGTCACGCCTAGGAAAAAAAAAAACCAACCGAGGAAACCATTTCCACTCAGTAAAGAAGAAATAAATCCTCCGAGTATCCGTGATTTTTGATTGCTGTTGAGGCAGATGAGCCCCTCAAGGAACATTCTTGTGCATTGAGTGTGACTTTTCATGTGAATTTTGTACTTTTTGAGCATAATCCATTAAGCTATTAAACAATAGCACTTACTATTGAATATTGGAAGATATCTCTTACACACTTCTTTAACAGTGGAGATTTGAGCAGTGATAGCACGTGCTGAGATTGAGGGATGTGATTGTACCAAGCTCTTCAGCATTCTGTTTTGAGAAGTAGAAACGTCAAAATAAAGAATCATCAACATATTTTACTGAAGAATAAGCAGGTTATTTAACTAGAAAACTAATATGATAATAATTTTACCTTATTTGGTGAAGGAAAAGCAGTGCAATCACATGTAAAAGCTACTTTTGTGTAGCCTTAACCAAAGATTTTATTGCTTTCTATAAATCTACTTTTGTAGCCTGAGTATCTGCGTTATGCAAGTTAAAGCTTCAGACTTGTTGTGAGCTTTGATTTTTGGTAGCTGGAGAGTGTTTTGCTTGGTTTTTTTTTTTAGTTAGCATTTAGTGATTTTTGTGTGGAAATCTTCAGAAATATATTTAATGCGTATTTTTTGTTGTGAGGATCCTTTTTCAGTAGGAGGGCCTTTATTGAGGAACGTGGGATTTGTGATTAGGAGTGTAGTGGGATATAGTGTCTGCCACCTGTGTAATAAATAACTAGTCTGTCAGACAGACAGGAGGAGCCTTGGGTGTTTTCTGCAGTCATGAAGACACAAATCAAACCCAACACTGATGCAGAAGTGTCAGGAACAGGGGGTTTCCTTCTACATATTTTTCTTGGTATCTTTTGTCTGTGATGCTACTGCTCTGCCCGTGTTTTTTGTATCAGGGTTTTTTTCTGTACTCTGGGAAAGAACCTGCATAGATTGGAGTTCTCCCCGGGTTTCCCTTATGGGGATTGAGAAGAGGTGCCAGTTAAGAAAGTCAAGTTCATTTCTGTAATTAGCAGAAAAAGCTAATTTTGCTTTGTGTGCCTCTTGTGTTATGATGATTGCCCTGAAGTGGCTGAGTGATTGTCTGTAAAAATGCTCTTATAGGTGTTTATGTACTGAGTCAGGAATTAATGAAGATCTTGAGGGATGTTGCAGGACCTACTGGCCTTTCGTGGCCATGTGATTCACCAAGGCATTTGCAGCTGGAATTAATTTTCTTCTACCCAACATGGTAGTTCTTTAAGGCATCTAAAAACATCCTTTGGCTAAATTAGGTAGATGTGGAATTAAGAATTCAAAATGTTAAAAAAAAAAAAAAAAATCAACCCCAAACCTCCCCCACTCTGATCCAGCCCCTCTTAAAAACAAATGTGATTTAGTCTGTCAAGAAAACATTACACACAGAGCACGAGGAATAAAGTGAAGTCAAATGGATTCTTCACCCTGTCACTCACATGCCTTGTTTTCCTCAACTTGCTGCGTTTTCAAAATTTCCACATCTTGTGATCTGGCTTTTCCCAGTCAGGATTATGGACTCAGAAGAGCAGTAGGAAATTCCAGATTGAACTGATGGTGCTGTTGAGGAATGCATTATTTTTCATAATGCCTCAGTTTTTGGTTAATGCAATGATTTCATCATCTGGATTGCTCAGTCTTCTGTCATTTAATGGGAGCTGAGGGTTGTATGATGTACTCAATCTTTGTTTCTCAGTTAGATAACAATTTTGGGAGGAACATATTGCTGCCTTTACAGCAAATAAAGCAAATTCTTCATATTTTAGGACTGTAGATAACCAGCCTGCCACTTATGTGATTGTAGCTTTTCTCTATGTTTCCAACAGTTAAAGTACAGTAGAAGAACATAAATGTGTTTAAAAAGCTTTTCTATTTAAATATATATAACAAGTACCTTTCCTTTAGGTAAAGAAGCTCAGGAAATTGTGTACTTTATGAATTATGGATAGATGACGTTTGAGGATATTTTATGGAAGGCATGCAAATCCTGATCTTGCAGATACTTGGTGTAACAGAATGCTGGTAATGCAGTCAAGTGAACATTTGGCTGTGTGCACACAGTGAGGCCTCTCATGAAGGGGGGAAAATATATATGTGTATATATATTTCTAAATATTTTTAAAGCAGTGTCTTGTAGACACACAAAGAAACACTGGCCAGTGATGCTGGACTGTGTCTGGACACTGAAGTGTGGGTGACCTCTCTGTGAACAGTGGTGAGCTGGGAGGGGAACAGAAATTTTTTGAAAGAAAAAAAATCTTTTCTGGGTTATTGGCCGAGTGTCAGCATTCCAGGCACTGCAGATTTCAGAGCCCAGATCCTTGGAAGTATTGGGCACCAGACTTGCTGAAATGAGGATTACTTTGGAGCTTTTGCTCTCATTTGTCAGTGCTCTGGAAGGATGTGGGTAATGATGGGGGGTTGAGCTTGGACAGCATTGCTGTGGGAACTAAGGCAGAGGAGAGGGTGGCTCAGCTGTGAGGGTGATTTGTTGCCTGAGCTGATGCTTTTTCCTTCAAACTCTGCTGGTTAGTGGTTGCAATGCTTTAATTAAGAGTTGGGCTGCCCTCCAGACAAAGCCATCTGGCTCCAGATTTGCTGTTTGAGTGTAGCAGGATTAGTAAATCTTAAGAAATGCAAACTTTCTGGTGATTAAAAAAAGCTCAGGGGAAACTTTGCCTGTGTTCAGAGGAGGACTGTGGCAAGAATTCTCATGAGATTCCTCAAAATATCAGGTCTTGTTGCATTTCTTTGGACTCTTCATTAAAGTGTATAATGTTGGCATACATGTTCCACTAGTGTGTCCAGGTAGAGGAAGCCAGAGGGTGGTTGTTTTTTCCAAATAATTCTTCTGTTTGTGTCATGTGTGCATCAGAAGGTGGCAGTTCTTGCATCATTCTTAGTGGGGGGATATAGGGAATGGTTTTAATTAATTAAATGATAATAATTTTCCATCATTGAAGTTGAAAACTGCATAGTACTGTGTGTCTCTTCACTTGAGTGTCTCTTGCTGCTACTGTTGCCTGTAGGTTTGCAGTAGTAATTCCTTTTTTTACACCAGTTTGGGTGGCATTCATGGTGGGGTTTTTCTCTCCCAGAAATGCCTCTGTTAAAATGTGGCTGGTGTGGCTCTGCAGTAAGAAAGCACCTTTGCAATAGTTTAGTCCCAATGAGGATGTTTTGGTGAGATTTGATTGATGCTGCAGCTGGTTAAATGTCCTGGCTCTCGTGGTGGGCAGTAGCCAAATACTCAGAGAAGTCATGAGAAACGGGGCAAGCATGGGACTGTTCCTTTCTTGGACAGGTAAAGTGAATTAAAAAAAAAAAATTTCAAATTTGTTGTGTTTAGGAGTGGGGGAAGAGGGAGACTTAACATGTTCCGTGTGTGTTGGGTTTTTTTTAAACTGTCCATTTCAAACAACAGCTTCAAAGATTAATTTTGTTTAAACAAAACTCATTTAAACAGAGATTTTCCAGGATACTGTTTTAACTGTAAATAACTAAGATGCTTACATAAACTCAGCAAAAACCATTGGAAGGGAGTGGAAAACTCTGGAAGAGAAGGAAGGCTGTGCGTGGGAAGGCAGGAAGGCGAGGTAACAGGCAGGTCAGTAGCAACTGGGAATTTAAAAGCAGCCAACAAGGAGCAGCTCCATTTACATTAATTCCCGGTTCTCCAAAGATGACTGGGGAGAGAATAACGGGGCAAGTGGTGAGAAAGGGTCATTAAGTTCAAGGAGTTGTGGGCAGAAGTTAATTGCAGGTTTAACTGGCTTGCCTCGTTAGCTGTGTTGTGGTAGCAGGGAACCCTTGAGAGCTACATCCAGTGTCAGTGGGAGCTCCTGGAGTTCTGGTGGTTTCTGCTGGAGCACAGTAAAACATGGCTTTAGGAGGCCTGTGTGAGTCCATCTGAAGGAAATGTAAGCTCTCAGTTGACCAGAAGTGAAGGCTGGTTTAGCCACTGGCTAAAAGTGCAAAGGAAATCCTTGTGCCCAAGGAGTAGCAGGGGGGATGTTGCTCTTTGCAGGACTCCTGTGGACTGGAAAAGCTGCTGTGGTCACTGCCACACTGCCAGAGGTGGCTGTGGGATTGATGCTTCCCGTGTCCAGTTCTTTGACACTTAGTGAGAAACCTTACAGACAGTTCTAAGCTATTCTTTTTGCCAGGTCCTTTTTTTTATGGGGGAAATGTTTTTCTCTGGTTTCCCATGAGCAGGCAAGCAAGAATATCTGAAACTAATTTCCACTTCAGGTTAGAAGTGTCTCACATATCTTTGCTGTCAACTGAGAAAAGTGAACCTGCAGTGTCCTTGTGTATGACTGGTCGATTTACTAATGTTTCCACGATTTATTTATCTTGTATCTTACCACGTTTATGATGTACTGAGAGGAGCTGGAGCAGCAGCTCCAGGAATAACTGTTTTCTGTTTAACGTCCTTGCACGGTGCTGTGGAGCCATTTGCTGTGGAACGTGTGGGACCTTAAAGCTCATAGGGGTACAAAGAGCCAAATGGTAAAACAGAAATGTGTGTGTCTCTGATTGCTGAACACTGAGATGGCAAATTGCTGAGCCAGAGGGAGCACCTGGGGAAGCAACAGTTCTTGTTTGCTGTGCTGTTTGGGCTTTGTCTTGTAATTAGCTACTGTCAGGGTCGAAATATGATGGCAAATGGGTCCTCAATTTGACCAGACCAAAAGTGTTCTATCTATAATGAAGACAGTTCTGTGCCATTGCTGTGCTTCACTGCATTTCTTTCGTAAGGAAATGTGTGTTGTTTGTGGCTTTTCATTCTTTTGGGCTGTGCCTTGCACAGGTGCCCTCTGTGATAAATAGAACAGGAAGTTAAATTGTCTTTAAAGAGCAAACTTGGTCATTTGCCCAAGTAAGGAGGGTTTTTCACTGATAATGCCACCAAGCACTTGGGGAAAAGGTAGAAGCAAGGCTGGCTAAAAGACAAGCACTATTTTTTCATACAAACCAAAGGACTTAGAGGAGTGTCTCCTCACAAGTGTTAGCCTTGTGCTCCTGAACAGACCGTGTCACTGGGTCAGGTGCTTGTCCCAGACTGGCAGCTGAGGATGTATGTTGGGATAACAGTAACCTTTCCATGGGAGCACCTGCAGTGTCAGCTGCCATCACTTGTCTCGTGGTGTTATTTGTGTATTTTCATTTGATGTGTTTTGAAAAGACTTAGAGCTGTTATTCGAAGTGTGTTTGAATTCTTGCTCACTTATTACCTGTTTGCTTTGATCACTTTGGGCTTGTAGATTAAACATTCCTGTTGGGTTTTTTATCTGAAGTATGATTTTTCTATAGGAGCTGTTTAGCTCGTGGGATCATCAAGAAATACAATATGTAGATTTAGTAATTAAAGTAGGAGGCATTGAGATGCATGATTATTAGTTTGTTGGTTTCTGCTGGTGAGAAAGCAATTTAAAAGGAAATGGGAATCTTCTTGAGTGTGTATGGGATCTTTTTTCCTTGATATGGATTGTAGCTATGTGTTCAAACAATGCTTTGTGTGTAACTAAAAGATGCTGCTGCGTTTCCTAATGTTTGAGTGTAGAACTGGAGAAAAAGAATGCATGTGACAGCTTCTAATACAAAATGAATTTGGCTTAAAAATGGGGGGGGGGGGGTGTCTGTGTGCATGAGGTGCCCCTGGTACACTGATGGTTGATTCTTGTAAATCCTGCTGGTTCTGAGTGATGGTCCCTTGCTGCTCTGCTCGTTATCTGGGTTGGTTTTCCTGCTGCTCTTGGAATTGCTGTGTTCATGCAGCAGAGAGCACGCAGTGATCTCACCACTGCTCTGGCTCTGTGTGTTCAGGCTGCAACTCGTCAGGACATGACCTACTGGCTGCAGGAGCTCCAGCAGAAGAGGTGGGAATATTGCAACAACCTGGACGCAGCCAAGAGGGACAGCCGGACCTCCCCCACCCCCAGTGACTTCTCCAAAGGTCTCGTTGCCAAAGACAATCCCGGTACGTTGGAAACTGGAGTAAAACCAGAAGGATGTCTCTCCTCAGTGTCAGCTCAGCAGTACAAGGCTGTGCTGAGAACAGCCTTGGAAGGTTTTTGGTTTTTTTGCACCTTGTTTCTATTTAAACTTTGTTTATGATGCTATAATTATTTAACATAAATGTAATTTTATATGTGATTTCGTATCTTTTAAAAAAATCTGTTGATTTCTTGTAAAACATATTTTTAGAAATGAAGTAAAATGGAGTAGTCTTATGACTGGGTTTCATTAAGTACAGCTTAGATTAGGCAAGTTGTCTTTCAGTGGTTACAATATCTTAGTGTAGTAAATATCCTGAGATGTGAACTCCAGGTTTTAATGAGAAAAAGTATTTTTTGGGTTCTGAATGACCATACTTTGTTCCCTAAAAAGTACAGTATGGTGGATCTGTCTGACTCTGATAAAAATGTCTTGCCTTTTAAAACTGGAAAACTGTTTACCCTGATACTACACAAGTGAAATTCAGTCTCTGTAATATGTTTAGGCAAGGAAAACGTAATTTCACTGTCAGTTATAAAAATGTATTGGTGTATTATACAAAGCTATTCTGTATTTTTTACTACATTGCTCAGGCACTTGTGGATTGTTTTATTTCTGAGCCCCTACAGAAATGGATTGCTTGCTGGTTTCTGTTCTCCATAAATAAGCCTGAGTAAAATCCTGTTCTGTGCCAAGTTAGGCATTAGTAAAACTCTCTTGGGTCAGACATATTTCATCACCAGATTACATATTTGGTTCATCTCAATTTGCTCATGTTAAGTGTTGTTTTCCCCAGCCTTCTGGCCTCCCCCAGGTCAGATCCAGGCTGCAGGATTGTCCTCTGACCCAGTTTGCTGCTCTCCCTGTGCCCGTGGCTGTGTGCTCAGCTCTGCTGTGCTGAGCTCTGTGTCCCTGGGGGCTCAGCCCGACTTTGAGCCCCTGCAGTGAGTCCCTGCTGAGAGCAGGGCCCAGCTCCTCCCGTGGGCAGTGCTGGCCTCCCCACCACGTGCCCCTGAGCTGGCAGGGAACAGCTGCTTCTCCACCGTGGTTTTTGGCCTGTGTAGTTTCCAGGAGCAGTTTACTGTAGGGACAGGGGAGTGCCAGGATTATCCTGGGAAAATTGCTGGGAATGCCAGGTGGGATGGCTTGAGAGCGCCTTTGTGGCCACACACAGCCTGGCTGGCAGCTTGTCACACTGGTTAGTGCTGGTGGTGGGAAAGGGAGCAGCCTTTTGCTCTCCCAGCCCTTTTCTGCCCTCAGCCTCTCACTCTCTGCTTCGCAGGCTCCCTTTTTGTGTCCCGTTGTCTGACCCTGTGCCGAGCTGGGTGAGCTCAAATGTTAGCCAAAAAGGAAGAATTCTTTGTCATTTCTGCCAGATTAAGGAGTGGAATATGTTTACTGTGCAATCAGGTGACTGCCAGAGCTGATGGAATGGAGGGAACAAGGCACAGTGGAAAACACAGGGAGGCAGAGCAGAGGAGTAGCAGCCCTGCCCTCTTGGCAGTGGATTGTTGGATCAGATCAACTGGAATATGTAACTTGGCCACAAATCCATTTGTTCTTCTTTGTGCTGCTTCCCTCAGAGCTTGGGTACAACGTGGAATAAACGTGCTGTCACTGCACTGTGTGGAGGTGCTGCTCCCTCACTCCAGTTTGGCAGCAGATCCAGTAATTTAGTCACTGATCTGGTATTTTCCTTTCCTCTAAATTGTTGGGGGGTTTCTGGATGAGCAAGCTGAACGTTTGTGTGATTTTTTTTTTTTTTAATTATTATTATCTGAATTTGGTTTTAATTTAAATTATTATTGTTTTTAAATCTAGTACAAGGAATGTCAAGGTAAAATAGAGGAGCTCAATAGGCCCATTCCCTTTCAGGGACAGCCTGCAGTTAAACTGCATTATGTGTCATTTGGAACTGCATCTTGAGTATCTCATTTTTTAGGACAGATCACAGTGATGGCTTTATCGTCAGCTGAAGTGTTTAAGTAAGGATTCCTTCTGGGGGAAAAGCAAATAGCCTGAGTGATTGATGATTGTTTCTCCTTTTTAGTCAAGTGCTCCAAAAGTTTCCTGTAGAATTAGGGGATTCTCTAAGGCTCTGTTTTGGTGTTGATGACTAAGATGTGCTTTATACTGGAGCATAGAAATTGGTTTCTTTTGCTGGTGCCTTAGTGCAGATGCTCTCCCTAATGTTTTAAAAGGGGAAGTGGTCTGTCTTCAGTCCAAAACCAGAACTGCTTACTGGAACCTTGCCTGTTTTGTCCTCTCCTTGGCCTGTCCCTTCCCAGTTTAGAAATCTGGACTAACTGGAACATACATAAAGTCAAGGTGCTGCTTTGTGGATCAACCTTGAAAGGTTTTTAAGAACATTCAATGTAGTGAAAATTACTTTATTTGTCAGAGTGGGATGTGGGAAAGTTCGTGTTGCAAAAATTAGACTGTAGGATTTGTCATGGAACTGCCTTGCTACCAAGGAAGTCAAATTATTTATTCCTTATAGGAAATGGAATTATTTTTTTTTCTTGAAATTGACTGAATGTTAATATAGGTTTTATAATTTCAGTTCTTGGTGATGTTATTCCTCACCTCTTAATTTGCACTAATAAAAAACACAATGTCATGCATTTATAAGATTGTTGTGTTTTGAGATAAGTTTAAAACCAAGATTTTTTTGTTTGTTTGTTTTATGTGATGATTGCATTAACAAGCACATGGATTAGTTGTGCTCACCTGCTGTGCAGTCCCTCCCTCTGACCAAACCACTGGCAGGGGATCAAGCACAAGGAGCAGCCTCAGGTTCAGCCACACCTGGCAGGTCTGTCAGAGGAAATGCACGTGTTAGGAACTCAGCTCTTGAGCAGCTCCTTTGCCTGGGCCATCCCAAAAGGGATTTGGCAGTTTTGGTGAATGGTGCAGGTAGAAGATAAAACAGGCTGTGAGTATGAAGGCAGGATGTCAGTATTCCAGCCTGGCTTTGGGTATCCATGAGTTTTTGATCTGTGTGTTTTGTTTGTGGTTTGAGGGCTTGTTTGTTTGTTTCCTTTTGGGATGGTGTTTGGGTTGTTTTTTGGTTGGTTTTTTTTTTGTTTTGTTTTTTTTTTTTTTGTTTGGTTTGGGGTTTAGTTTTTTTTTTAGTTTTGGTTTTGTTTTGTTTTTATTAAAACCTATTGTCTTTGCCCTTTATTAGACAGTGAATATGACCAAAAGCTGGTTTTAGCTAACCTATCTTAGCTGAACTGTGCTCAGCTCAAACAGCCACAGTCCCAAAGAACTTGGAATTCTGCTTGGCTGATAAGGCCCTGAAGCTTCTGTTCATAACAAATCAAGGCAGTGTAACTTCTGTTTGAAACACCACATGATGCACTTCTGTGGCAGATACCACTTTTCAAGGGTTTGAGAGATTTCTGGTGTCAGTTATCTTTTATACTTTGTATTCTTTATTACAGAATGTTCTTTCTACTTCTAACCTTTGATAGGGCTAAATAAAAGTAACCCTCTGCTCAGTAACTGGAGGGGACAGTTTGCTTAAAGCTGGGCTTGCTGCTTGTGCCAAGTAATGGGGAGAGCAGTGATAAAAGAGGGCATCATGATTTCCTAGGGTTTTATTAAAATCAGAGCCCATCCCAGTGTGTTACTTTGTAATGCTGAACAAGTCTGAGTGTTGTCAGAAAATCCTTAATCCTTCAGTACTTTGTGAATTATATCGAGAAGAATCTGAAAATTATATTTGAGCTTGTTTAACTTGCCTGTTCAGAGGCTTTGTGTAAGGCCACAAACCACTTTGTGCTTCTCTATAATGGTGTTGCTATTCACAGTATATTCCATATTCCCAATGTTTCATTCCCTCTGCCTGCTGGAGGGAGATAGCAAGTTATCCAGCATAATGGAATCACTGAGGTAACACAGACACTGCAGGCTCTGCAGTCCGTGTTTGACAGTGTGTTGTGTTGGAGACCTGCCTGGCTCTGTTGGATCAGCCTGGATCCTCTGGAATTCCGCAGCTGTGGCTCAGGGCTCGTGCCAGCCCTTGGCTGGTTCCTGTGGGGCCGTTTGGGGCAGTGTGAGCAGCTGAGGAGGAGCTGCATCAGCTTAACCACGGCTGGTAAATCCATGCTGATCCAGGAGGCCCTGGATGTGTCTGCAGTGCCTGTGCCAATGCTCTTGGCTCTGGGAATGCCCAGGCTGGATTGGCTCAGAGCTGGCTCAAGGCCATAAAGCTCCTTGACTTGCAGCAGTGTCACTTGTAGGGTGAAGAACTTCTAGGGCGAAGCACAGCCCGAAAGATGTCAGTGTTTTTGTGGCACTGTTGCTGACTCATCAGAGCTAAGCCTGAACTGGTTTTACCAGGGGGGTTTGCAGGTTAATGTAATGAATTCCCCTTAATTTTTATAGCTTTATAGCTGCTTAAGCTGGATGAATCAATATTGACTCATTGAGATTGCAAATCATTGATGAAATAATGCCTCCTGAGCATCACACGAGTCCTGTTATCAAAAGTAGGTGGCTGTGGTGAGAGCTCACTGAGGAAAACAGTTTGCTGTTTTTAAGGTTCATTTAAACAGAATGCTTTATTAAGTTATGTTGCAATTTAAAATAAAACCCGACCTACCCTGCTAGCAGGCTTAGCAGTATATGATTTTACATAGCCACTGTTCTTTTACTTATTGAAGGTTTTGCCTGTTTTTCTTTTTCTCTCTTTTTTTTTTTTTCTTTTAATACAGATTTGAGTATCCTAAGTCAGAATGCCTCAGCAGAGAGAGCTAGAAATATTCTAGCTGTGGAGACTTCTCCTACAGACCTGGTGGGGGAACAAGCAGCTTCCCAGCCTGCACCAGTCCAAGCAAGTGCCATCAACTTCTCACTTAAACAATGGAGCACTGAACTCAAGTAAGTTGGGAACGTGGGAGAAGGAGTTATCAGGAGCTTGGTAGTTGCTGGCTGAGACTGTTCCGTACTGAAAGATGTCTGTGTGTGGTGGGTGGAGCTGCTTAGAAGGACAGGGGTGGTGGGGTGGATCAGTACAGTGGGATCTCTTCAAGTAAACTCTTTATTTTACCTCCTGTTTGAAGGGTGTGAGTGAGAACATCGTTATGTGGCATCACTGGTACCTGAAAGGGAGACTGGAGTCTTGGAAAGCACTTCTGGGGATGGCTTTGCCCTCTGAACCCAAGCAGGGAGCTGGGAGTTGTATCCTCAGCTCCTGCTGCTTTTCCCTGGAGCTGCCAGGTGCAGCACTGTAGCAGGTGTAGTGTTCAGTGCACTGGAACTGTTTTTACTGATCAAAATCAAAGCAGGATAAATCCTTACTCTTCATCTGCTTCTTAAATAAATGAAAGCACATGGCACAGATTTGAAGTCAATGTGATTTGAATTCCTGAGCAAAACTGTGGCAGACCCTTTCTGAACAACATCAAACCCACATATATTATCCCCTTACTCATAATGAGAGAACTCTTCAGTAATAATTGCTTTAAGGAGAGCAGTTCTTCTGGCTTTCAGCCCTCCTGTTACAGTTTCTTTCTAACTGATTTTACACTTTTCTTGTCCCACACGTATTTTCCACTTGTACTTAAAGGCTGTTGCTGTGCTGGAGCAGAGCAGGTCACAGAGCAGAGCTGTAGCTCTGGTTAACTCGACCACATCCCTCCTGAGCTGTAAAATGCTGCTCATTTTCAGCAGCAGTGCTGAGTTAAACAGATGCCTTTTAAAGCTTTCTTGTTTAGCACAGAGATCTGAGAGGTTACAAAGTGGTGTTGGTTTTGGCTCTTTTTCTGGCTCCTTTTCTGTTGTTGGTTTTGGCTCTTTTTTTGGCTCTTTTTCTCTACTGTGTAGACTGTAATTGAAGTTGGAGAAAAGATGGCTTATGGCTGGATTGAGAAAGATGTCAATCCTGTTACTACATGTCATGTTTTAACTGATAATATTGTGTGGTTGCTTGGGTTTGTGTGGCCACTTTGCTTTGGTAGAACTTAAACTTGATCATCATAGAAGGAAAAGTACATGGAACAATTTCTGTTGGTGAATTCCTGTATACTTGAAACGAGGGGGTTTTTTTCTTTTTAAATTTTTTTCTCGATTTTTGGAGTGTTGTTGGGTTTTTTTTGTGTTGTTGGGTTTTTTTCCTGAGTTGCAGATGCTGTGCTTTGGGCAAGTCCAGCAGTGCCAGGCTGAGCTGCTTGGTGCTGCCTGGTTGGTGTGTCAGTGTTTCTGAGCAGGAAGGCAGTGGTGGAGCTGTGGGTGGAGGGAAATACTTCTGGTGGCAGTGGCCCAGCAGACCCTGTAGCACAATATTCAAGAGTTGGCCTTCTCTGTATAGCTCTGATCCTCATGGCTTGAAGTCCTTGCAGGTCTTGGGAATGAACATGTGGTTCTCTTCCAACTTGGAATATTCTGTGAAACTATGTAAAAATCTATGATTCTATGTAAGAAAACTTCCCACTGCAGCTCTTTGAGGCTGAATGCCACCAGCCAGCAGGTCATGAGCACTTAAACTCCTGTATCTAGCAAGATAAATTTGTTTTGAGACTTGAATCTGTAGCAGTTTTCACGAGAAAGATTATTTCTTTTTCAGCTTAGGTTTGGTCAGGGACTGGTGAATTTTCCTTCTACAGGCTGTCCTCAGTTGCTCCAGAGAGAGGGGAGGGCAAGTATAATCCTAATTTTGATTGATTTTGCATAAACAGTGATCATTTTTACATGCTTCTCCTGAAGTGAATGATGCCCAGTCAGTCATCCAAACTCTTCAGTAATGGCACAGGGGTCCTACAGCCTTTCCTATTGCACAGCCTTGGTTTGTGCTCAAACCAGTCTGAACAGAATTCCTGTGGGAAAAGTACATTTAGTCTTGTATTTTAACATGTGTGGCCTCATTTGTCACTTCTTGATTGACAAGTGGTGTTCTTTCCCTGGGTGAACAGCACTCTGTGAGTGTGTGTCACCAGGAGGGGCACTTAATGGTACTGGACCTTTCTGCAGAACCAGGACTAGATGGTTGATATTTTCACAGCAGTGAAAGCTAATTATGAACCTTGGAAAATTAAAATTACATAGTAGTGTATTAAAGCTATAACTGTAAAAGCTGGTGGCAAAAAAAGGCCCACTAATATGTTAGAATTTATTTTAGTAAACATCTCTAAGCAGCAGGACTGTCGTGGGTGATGGTTTTCCTCCCTTCTCCAGCAATTCTACAGCATTTAGGGCAGCAGTGCAGCCTGGTGGCCTTGGGAATATGTGTGCACTCTCCAGTGTCTTACTGGATTGGGATGGGACTAGTTACAGCTCCAATGGATGGATCCCAGTGTTTCTAGAACTGTGTTGCTGGGAGCATGTCTTTGTCTTATTTTTGCTAATTTGTATTAAGACATGTAGATGTTTTAGAGCCTTGTCCTTCCTCCTGAGCACGTTTATGGTGTGTCTGACAGAGAAGCTGTTGCTGTAATAGCTGTGTTTGCATCCCAGGCAGCAGTGAGGAAGGAATAATGGGGAAAAAAATTAAGAATATGTCTTGAAGTTAAGCTGTGTGTATATTTGCAGTAACTGAAGTTGAACCATGCTTTTCTGCTTTTCAGAATGTATTTTCAAGTACTATATACTGACATATACAGACATTTGGGCCTGAGTTTTTGTAATCTTCATGCCCTCAGCTACTTATATCTCTTATATATGCAGAAAATAGACTTGGAAACATAATGAATTGTAGAAACCTCAAGTTATATAACCATAAAATATGACTTAACCCCCAAACATTTAAAAATAGAGAATCATTAGATCATATGATCAACTGTTGGGTAGTTTGATTGTACTGGTCATAGTGTGCTTAGGAAAATAAATATTGTTTTCAAATTTAACTATCTGATCTTTTAATCTTATTTTAATCTAATAGAAAGCAATGAAGCAGTGCCACTTCAGTGCCCTGAACAAACCTATGCAAAAGCTTTACAAAACAGAGCATCAGCTATGATTTTTCATGGGCTTAACAGCAGTTTTTTAAGCAGCTTTTCCAGAAGTCACTTGTCTTCTTGTTCTTTGTGGTCTGTTCAAGCTTTAGAAGGTGGTGTTCAGGCAGGCTTTAAATCCTGGAGTTGACCAAGTGCAGAGCAGGGGGCTGTGGAGGTGCCTGGTAAGAGTCAGCCCCTGTTCCCAGAACAGATGGAGAGGTGCCAGGTGACACCTGTTGATTTTGAGTGCCCTGGGAAATGAGTCAATCACTGCCCAATTTGATCTGTTTCATTTCCCTGGAAGGTCTGAAAAACAAAATAAGGCTTCTTGCCCCTGACAGAAACTGATTCTTTCTGGGAGAAAATTAAAGTGTAGCATAAGTTGATCTTTGACGAGTTTGTAGATTGCTGGAATGGTTTTATTAATAACCTTTAGGGTTATTTTTAAGTTGTACTTAAATATTTCTTGGTTCATCAGATTATGAAAATCTTGCACTGCATAATGATCAGCTTAGAGTTTGTGTTGATCAGGTGTTAAATCTCATGTGAAGCTGAAAGACTGGCTTGGATCGTCACATCACCTTGAGAGTGTACTGTGGGTTACCTTCTGCTTGAGATTTGAAAAGGAAGAAGAGAGAATGTGGCTCAGTGAGTGAGAGCATCTTTGTGGGCTTGCCCAGACTGCAGAGAAAATGCTGAGATAGCAAATACATTTCCAGTTTTATACCTGAGATATTAAACTGATTCCTATGGGTTGATGTAGAATCTCCTTGTCTGGCTGAACAAAGGCTTTACAATACTGAGCTGTGCTAATACTCATGGACATAAGAGTGGACATTTCTGATTGCATGGTGGTTGTGGAGGAAGCTGGGTAAGGTAACCTCATCCTGCTGGGAAATGTATTGTTCTTCCATGGAATTATCTGGCTGGAATTCAGAGGATGCCTCCGAAATGTTCTTGCAGATAATTGGCCATGTTCCACCTTGGGAAAGGAAAACTGCTCAGGAGTCTGTCATCAGTGACTCAGCCACAGCAGGTCTCTTGGGTGATCCCTAGTTTTGCATTAACCCAGGATATGGAACTATAACATCCATGTTTTGCCTGCATGCTGTCCACTTTAGTGCCTGGCAGTTCCCCTAAAATTCTAAGCTACAATAACTGATCAATAAAGAGATGCTGCTTGTAAATTCTAACTTTTTGTACTTCACCACTGCCAAAACAGAGGGAGATGCAAAATACCATAGGTGGTCCCCTAGGAATTAATATCCCATTAAAGCAAAATAATTCTTCTGTTCTTGAAACCCATTGATGGCAGGTGTTGTTGGGTAGGACATCCTTTGTTTTCTTTGAGCTTTTATTTGGTATTGGTTTGGTCTGTGTTTTAGCTTATTTTTACTGTTTGAACTGTGGTGCTTGTCTTGCAAAGCCCTTTACAGAATGAATGCAAAACGCAGGAATCGTGGTCACCTTTTCCCGCTGCCTTTTCCACAGAAATTCCATGTCCTCCCTAAGAAAAGGAAATAACGAAAACCGCAAGAGCATATTTTACACCACCGAGGAGTGGGAACTGCTGGATCCAACCCCCAAAGACTTGGAGGACTCCATGGCTCTGGAAGAAAAGAGGAAGCACCTGGCAGAAGGAAGTAAAGGTAGAAGTGGGAGGAAGGAAGGGGAGCATTTGCCTTCTTTAATGTAATGTACTGTGTTGTGTCTGTCTCTAGGAAATAGTGGAAGTTTATCTTTTCTTCACAAACCACATCCAGTGCTCTGTAAATCATTTTTTAAAAAACTAATTCCTTATGATGTGTTTGGAATCTTCTGCCATTCAAATACAACAGAATGAGGACAAAGCCTTGTTATCCACTGTTCTGGTTTCCTGAGTGTGTTACTGGCTTTAGTTCTGTCACTTGACTTGCAAAGTTAGGAGATGAAGGGAAGTGCTGAGACTTTAATTACTCAGTTGAGTGTCACTCCCTGAAGCAGAACTGCCTTTGTACTCTAAATAAGTATGTAGGTGTTATATTGTCTTGCTTCTGAAATGGGGAAAAAGTAGGGGATGCACATGCAGTGGCAGCTCATCTGTGAATTGTAACTGGGTCTCAGATATGACCAGTGTCTGCAATAACCTCATGAAGATGTTTTTACAGCTCCTTAGGAGCACTTCAGCTGGAATCCAAGCGATTTGATCTGTTAGAAAACATCCTTCTCCCTGAGTACTCCTGTGGTGATGTAAACAGAGGTGAATTGTTACCCCAGTGCCTCTTCCAGGAGCAGGGGGCTGTGATACCAGGGTTGGGTTTGCTCTGACCACTTTGGAACTGTTAATTATTTGAAGCAAAGTTTACTTTACCATAGTTAGGGGTACCTTTTATTTTGTGTAATAAATTAGGACTTGGGGAGTAAGACACAAAGAGAATTTTACAATTCATGAGCCAAGTCTTTTGTTTGGGAGGGGAGGAGCCTTTGAGCTCTATACTTTTCCCACCAAAGGAAGCAGCTTGGAAAATGAGACATGTTTAACTCTATTGTACTGGGTAGTTTAGAAGCTGCTCAGAGTCTGATGTTAATGAGTATATTTTTTTAAAGGAAATCTGAATGCTTTGAAATGCCTTTTTACTAAGTGAACCGAACTAGAAGAAATTGTTTTATGCAGGACTGACTAGTTCAGCTTTTCCATTTGATTTTGGCCGCATTCCACACAAAGCAAGGCGCCCCTTGCTGAAGGACATGATGGGATCGAGCAAGAACCGCACCGGCAGCGACTCCTCTCCAACAGAGTGGTGTTCTGGCAATGGCAACAAACTGGTCTCTGAGCTGCAGCTCAAGTATCAAAGCCAGCAGGAAGAGCTGGAGAAGCTGAAGAAAGATCTTTTGAGCCAAAAGGTAATTAAGCCTTCAGGCAAAGTGCCCAAAGCAGATGGATCTGGCAGGTGACTGTGAGTTTAACCTTTCTGGCCATCGAACTGCAAGAGCTGGCTGGTTGGTGTAAAACGATGGTGCTGAACAAACCTTGGTACACACAGAGTCTTGAGACAAGAAGGACCATTTTTACATCTGTTGGAGATGAGATCCCTGAACAAAACCTTTGCAGTGTTCATTAACTTGGTTTATGTATCTTCCTTATTCTCTGAAGTTATTTTGTTCAGTGTCTGCCAGAATCCTGGCAGGTAGACGCAGCTTCTTTTTCCATTAGTACTTATAATTTCTGAGAAACTCATCCTTTTAGGTCCTCTTTGTTTGTTTTTTGATTCTCTCAATGCTAGAAAGAGGTTGGGGAATGGACCTGACTTCTCTCTACCCTAACTGCATCATCAGGAGTGGTTTTGTAAAGCATAGGCCTAACCATAATCATCTATAAAACATGCAATAGTACTGCACTCATAGTGTTCATGGTTGTATGCCTCATAACTCCAATTTATTCAACACCTTGCTTTATCTAAAAGAATTTCTACTCCTTTTAAGAAGAATAATTTTTTAGGTCTTATATGGAGCTGCTATTTGTATTTTCTGTTGTGTGGGATGATTGAAGAGAATTCAAAGAAGGAATGTGAGCCCCATGTTTATAATCATTTGAGGAGTTATCTTTCCCAGGAGTACATTTGAGCTCCTGAGCCAGCTTCTGAGAAATCTCACTGGTCTAAGTGCAACACTGTGTTCACAGTTGTTTCTGTTTTAATAGGAAGACAAAGAAAAATGGTGTCTTAGGCTGTTGATTGTGTGGCGAGATGTTCTAAAAAGCCCTCTTCAGACTTCCTTTTTGGCAAAGCAGCATGTGTTGTTTCCTGCTCTTATTTTCTCTCTCTGTTAGAGAAGAGCTGTTAGTTCCTTTGCCTTTTCCATTCTGGAATGTTCACCTGTTAACCTTTGAGGCTTAAACCCTTTCTCCCTGTTCATCTCCCTACAACAGGGCTGCTTGCAGGCAAGGATTTTTTCAGCTTCCAGGTAACTGCTGGGCCACAGCTGTCCACTACTTTTCCTTAACCTGTTGGAGCCTTTCTAGGCAGGATCCTTAGCTCAGTGAAAGACATTTAAACCCTCTGTGTAGGCCAGTCATTGTAAGGTGTTAATCTGCTAGAAATCATGTCATGCAAGTGTTTCCCTTTTTCCTTAAAACTCAGCCCGAGGTCTCTTAAAAGCTGATTATTCAGATTAAAAACCCATTCCAGAGCTTTCTTTTGCTTGATGTTAACTTTATAAGTTATAAACCTTAGAAACTTAAAACTTCATGACCTTTTTTTTTTTTTAATTCTCAGGAACTTGTTCGACTCCTGCAGCAAACAGTCCGGTCCTCCCAGTATGATAAATACTTTGCCAGCCGCCTCTGTGAGGGGGTTCCCAAAGACAAACTAGAGCTGTTGCACCAAAAAGACGACCAGATTTTGGGTCTCAACAATCAGCTTGAAAAGTTAAACCTGGAAAAAGACAGTCTCCAGCAGGAAGTGAAGAACCTGAAATGCAAAGTTGGAGAACTCAATGAGCAGCTGGGTATGTTGATGGAAACTATTCAAGCTAAAGATGAGGTGATCATGAAACTCTCCCGGCAGCTCAGTGAATGTGAGGACAGTTCATCCTCTCCAAGTGGAGCAGTAAATTCTCCCACGGCCACCAGTGCTAATAAGGACCTGCAGGAACTGGACAGACTAAAAGTAAGAGCAATGTCTCTGTCTCAATGCATAGGGGACTCTGTGCTCCCTGTAGGGGTACTTTGAGGCTGCTGTGCTGTTTGAGGTCACTGCAGCAGCTCCCCAGGACACTTCTCAGCTGAGGCTTTCTCTGCTTGGCACCCCCTCTTTGAATGTCTGTGACAGTCTCACTGAACTCCTCTCCTTTGGGCTGCTCTGTGTGCCTGTAGTGCAGGGTCCTGGGCTTCCAGGGAATTGATCCTTGCTGGGGAGGAGCAGTGATGTGAGAAATAATTAAAGGAGCAGGAAGAAGCGAGTGTAAGAGGAAAATATCAGCATGGGGGGAAAGAAAGAGAAAGCTTGCTTTTTTAAAGATTTTCAGTATCAAAACTGAGGCAACAAAGCATGTGGAATGGCAAAGGGAAGCTCTGAGGAGACAAAAAGGGAGGAGTTTAAGAACCTGTTTTACTAATGCTCCTACAGATCTTGTGAATGCCTTTTTTTTGAACCTCAGTGAATGTGTCACAAGTTCTTAATGGAGTTACTGAAGTTATCCACTTTGCTCTAAACATGCTTTTTTTTGCCTTTGGATAAATGTTGTATTCCAAATTGATTAACACTCCAAGGAATTGGGAATACAAGTAAGTAACTTAAAATATGCATAAACATCCATCATATCTTTCCTATATGAGACCCTGGTAAGTTTTAAAACTGATAAATGCTATTAGTAGCTGCTGTTGCCATGTTCTAAGGTGTGCTTTCTCTGGCAGGCATTTGCTGTTTGTAAAATATTTTTTTTATTAAAAATCTAGTTTGCCTTTTTTTTTTTTTTTTTTTTAATCAACAGGACAATCTTCAGGGTTATAAGACCCAGAATAAATTTTTAAATAAGGAGATTTTGGAACTTTCTGCTCTACGAAGAAGCGCAGAAGCAAGAGAGAGAGAATGGCAGGCAAAGGTCAGACTAACACAGCGTGTTCTCATTTTGGAAATGTCTAAAATGTTTTGAAAATTTTAGCTGTAAATCTACCCAGGAAAATGGAACAAGTTAAAAATCCCCCTTAACTCAGTCCTTACTGACCAATCTTTCTGGATGGATTCTTGAAAGAAGTAATTTGCTTTAAATTTAAATTTGCTGGTGAAAGTTTTTTTGTAATTTATGAACACAGGCATGTATATATTTCTCTGAAAACATTATTTCCTCAGAATTCAGGGCATGATGATTTTTTTGAAGTATGACAGGATGTATAAGGATTTGAGTAGAGCTCTCTCCTGAGCACGAAGGGCGACTGTGATATGGTGAATGTAATTTTGGGAGTGTGTTCTTGTATAGATGAACTTGAGTGTAGAGGTGTTGCAGGTAAATAATGAATATTTCCATTGCCTGGGGCTGGGAAACCAAACACACATGTAGAGATGGTAGGCTTTGCCTCTGGTTTTTTGGAAGCAAAGCCCACAGTGGCCAGGTTTAAATGCTGTATTTTTGGCATGGAGGTGTGTGTTTACAGCTCCTACATGCTGTTGCCTAACTCATGCCTTTAAAATGCCATTTGAGTTGTTCTTGTTCCAACGTGCATAGGCTCAAGCTGTTACTTGAAAAGCACAAAATGGTTGAGTTGTATTTCATGCAGTGTAGTGATAATTTAAGCTGGCTCAGATTTTCCATATGCAAAAGTACATCTGGTGGAAAGCATCAGATCTGCTTTGCTGCCTAATGTTTGCTGGTGCTACACAAATGGGAAAGTCAAGCTGACTGTTCCTGACTTACAGGTTTCTGAGCAACATAAACCAACAGAATAACACTGAACCAGATTTTAAAAGAAGTGTAGCATAAAGTAAGTGTCTGAAGACTTTATATTATATATTGTTTTCTGCAGTACACCAGCTTGGAAGCCAAACTCTGCCAGATTGAAAGTAAATACTTGATCTTGCTTCAAGAAATGAAAACTCCAGTTTGCTCTGAGGAGCAGAGTCCTGCTCGTGAGGTCATCACACAGTTACTGGAAGATGCCTTGAAAGCAGAAACCAGTGAACAACCAGAACAGGCCTTTTTCAAACCACACCTGGTCAGGTAATTTGGTCCTGTTAAAATAAATGTATGTGTGCCTTGGTCAGTGAAGGGGCTGCAGTCCCAGCAGGGAAGGTCTCTGGTGTTGGGAGTGCAACTGCCAGAGTCTCCTGAATGGTCAGACTGGGAAGTTCCCTTAACACATTTATTGGTTTATTGAGATAGTATAAAACTTAGACTCAAATGTTGCCATACAGCTGCTGAAGGTGTGTTACTGAAGAGTTGGGTTCATTTGAACTTGACCCTCTTCTTAAAGTGCTTAATTTGTATGGTAATATATCCTGGAATATGGCCCCAAGTCTTTTATATATGGAATTGTGAAAGTAATTACTAAATAAAAGATATATTTCAGAAAAATGTGTAATAACTGTTAAAACTTGAGAACTGTGGAGAGGGGCTTTGGACTAACTCTGATGGGAATGTGGGAGTTTCAGGGCTGCTGAACACATGTAAAACCTTTTTTTTCTTTTTTTCCCCATTGCAGTGAATATGATATATATGGGTTTCAGACAGTCCCAGAGGATGATGAGGAGGAGAAACTAGTAGCAAAATCACGAGCTTTGGACCTGAGGTCGCTTTCCCTCAGTGAAAATCGAGAGATCTCAGCTGGAGTAAAATGGGAAAACTACCTTGCCAGCACCATGAACAGGGAGATGATGCGCTCCGTGGAGCTGAAGAACCTCATCCGCTCTGGAATTCCACACGAGCACCGCTCCAAGATCTGGAAGTGGTGTGTCAATCTTCATGTTAAAAAATTCAAGGACAGCACAGTACCTGGGTACTTCCAAACCTTGCTTCAAAATGCTCTGGAGAAACAAAATCCTGCATCCAAACAGATTGAGTTGGATCTCTTGAGGACTTTGCCCAACAACAAACATTATTCCTCCCCGACATCCGAAGGGATCCAGAAGCTGCGGAATGTGCTGCTGGCATTTTCCTGGAGAAATCCTGATATAGGATATTGCCAGGGGCTCAACAGGTGAGATATTGCTAATCCTGAGTAATGAGCCTTTCAAATCACAAATGTAGCAACACGCTGTGGAACAGAGGTTTGCCTTATGGGCTGTATGCTCATCATTTACAGTGTTTTAAGAAACAAATAACTAGCACATTTTTTAAAACCATTAAAAAACCCAGATGACCTGGATAGTGAATTCTGTGAAATCAGCTTGGCAAAAAACATGGAATTGAAATTAACTCAGGTAAGAAATGGGACACTTGAGTGTAGTTTCACATTGACTTTGTGTCACTTGTCGGGGATTGAGTTGCTTTTGTGTGCAAGAATTTGTTAGTTTTTTTCTTAAAACGAGCAGAAATAAATGCTTGAAAGCTTTTTTTATATTGTTAAGGCCACAAATTTCAGCATTTCACTCTGATGTCTTCAATCAGAATAGCAGAATTCTCTGTGTTTAGAGAGCTAAAATCAGCAGCACCAACACTTGAAGAAATTCTTAGAACAAGTTCAGCCTTTAAAATATTTTAGGGCTTTTTATTTTCATTAAAAGATGACGGTGTTATTTATCTTTATCTTAAGGGAGATAAAGCAAATGTGCTAGAAAGGATTTTTCTAATCTTAAAACAACTTTGTGTGTAATTCAAGAACCATCTGTTCTTTCTTCTCTTTAATAAAAAAAGACAAAAGTCTGGGAATCAAGTATTATACTTAGGACTTGGAAGCTTCTTATTATTTTTGTCTTAGTTCCTAGGAAAATGGCTTCTAGAAAATCACTTAGCTTTTGCCTTTATCTGATTTCTTATTTAGCTGAATAAAAACACTTGGTGTGGCTGAGAAGGCCCCATCTGAAACTTCAGTAACAGTTTTGCTGTTTAGTGCTCTCCTGATTTACCTCAGCTGAACAAAACCACTTTATTGTAATGGTTCTTAATATAGTTTGTGATGCTATAATAATCCTTTTATTCAAATAAACCCTGTTTTCAGGTTGGTGGCAATTGCACTTCTGTACTTGGAACAGGAAGATGCTTTTTGGTGTCTGGTAACAATAGTGGAGGTTTTCATGCCACGTGATTATTATACAAAGACACTGCTGGGATCCCAGGTATGTGCTCTGCTCCTGGGAACTGCAGCCAGACAAAAGCTTTCCTTTGCAACTGGCTGACAGGCCTTTCTGGGGGTGTCTTGAGTTGACAGGGGTGGGGTCCAGGCACCAGGGCCCTTGTTTGGACAAGGGCTTGACACTGAAATAATTGTTCAGTGTTGTGCTTGCAGCTCCAGCCTTAACCCCGCTTCTCATTACTGGCTTCACAGCACGGAGTGGATTTATCCTTTCTTTCCTCAGGTCTGGGGGGGGAAGGTGGTTATGGGCCCTGAGGGAGCATTTTGCAGTTCTGGGAGCAGTCTGTGCTGTGGCACTGCTCTGCCTCCAGGTGCTGCCCTGTACAGGCTGCCTTCTCCATCCACATCTCTCCCGGCTCATTCAGGGCTCCTGCAGCAGTGCAGCCCTGGTGACCTGCCATGGAAACACCCCCTCTGTGTGTGAGGAGCCCTGTGGGACAGGGGCTGGCTGGAGGGGCTGGCAGTGTGTCAGCAAGGGGGGTGTGCATTGGGATGGCTCTGTATTTGGGTGGGTATAGCCTGGAATTGTTATCTGGACACTCCTGAGTTTCCTGGTAACCTCTTGAAAAACTTGCACTTACAGGCTGGTTACAGCCCTACTTGGAATGACTGTTGGAAAATTAGGAGCAATAATAATGACCTGTTTGTCATCTGTTCAGGTTGATCAGCGGGTTTTCAAGGACTTGATGAGTGAGAAGCTGCCACGACTTCACGCTCACTTTGAGCAGTACAAAGTGGATTACACCCTTATCACCTTCAACTGGTTCCTGGTGGTGTTTGTGGACAGTGTGGTCAGCGACATCCTTTTCAAAATCTGGGACTCCTTCCTCTATGAGGGACCAAAGGTGAGCTGAAGGAGCTGAGATTGTTCATTTGTTCCCGGAGAAAAACCACTCTGCTGTTACTGAGCACAGGGGGGAGGAAGGTGGTTTCACGAGAATCTTGTCACTTAAAATCACTGGTAGGAAAAAAAAACAAAAACAAAGGAGGAAATGTGCATAAATAACCAGTCAAAGCATTTTCCATTTTATCCGTGCTCTGCAAGTGGAGGGGTTGAGTTACATGGAAGAATTTTAAATGCAAGTATTTTCCTTTTGCCACCACCTTTTTTTTTCCCCTTTGAAAAATAAAAGTCCAGGCAGTGCTGTTTATTCCTATGTGCAGCTGTCAATGAGTTTCAAGTAATTATATCAAGGTTAGAGCTACTCTTATAAAGAAGGAAGATGAGGTGATGGAGGCAGAAGTTAAAGTATTGAAAAGATGTAAAAATTGCTTCTAACCAAGAGCTGACTTTTAGCTTTTCTCTGCAGCAAATATTTGTTTTATCTCTGCAGACATTTAAAGCACAAATGACAAACAGTGACTCTATGTCATAAATTAAGGGGGGATTTGAAAGAATTTTCATTCTTCTAAAATTGCAGTGAAATAAAATCAGTGTGGGGAAAAAAAAGTCATTGGTTTCAAACACTAAAGTAGACTTTGTAGGCAACTGGAGAGAACAGGTGAGTTATAAAATAAGACAAAAACTGTGTTTGAGGTGATTTCTCGCTGGCCTTGGTTGGGCATTTGAACACAGAGTGGTTGGCTGTTCATTCACATCAGTGAAACATCTTGGCTATTTGTGAATGCAGCCAGGCACAGACTGGCAAAGTTCAGAACTTACCAAAGCCTTTTTGGAATGAAGGGAAATAATGCTGCTTCCAGCTCATGCCAATGGTGATGGACAAACTGGTATCAGAAATTCCTTCGGCATCAGGTCCCCAGTGTGTTGGGAAAATTCAAGGCCTTGGAAAAGAAGCTGTTTAAAAATCAAAACTTAAATTTAGCTGTGAAGTAACTAAATAAATGCATTGAATAGGCCCAACAGTCTGGGTGCTACAACTGAATTTGGAACTAAAAGTGTCCAAGAATTTGAATCTCTGAACTGAGCCTTGTGTTCTGGATGGGTCTGCAGGACAGCTGGCCTTGGGTACAGCCACAACAGAAGTATTTGGCAGCTTTTGGAAATGGGGCTGGGCCAGGGAAGGGGGGGGAGGGTAGAGGGAGGTGTGATTAGAGAGCTCATGTGCAGCCTCTGTGAGAGCAACCCTTTGCCTTGGAGTTTATCGAGATGATAATGAGAGCTGGTGCATTCTGTACTTACAAATCCTGAATACTGGGTGTTTTCTCAGGTAATATTCCGATTTGCCCTGGCACTTTTTAAATACCAAGAAGAGGAAATCTTAAAGCTGCAGGATTCCATGTCCATCTTCAAGTACCTTCGCTACTTCACACGCAACATACTCGATGCCAGGTGGGGAACTCGCACTCTGTGTCCTTGGAAGACTTGTTGTGGGGCATGGGAGAAGTGAGGGGGGGTTGTTTTGGTTTTATCTAGATCCTAAATCAGGTGTAAAGCAACTAGAGATGCAGCTGACTGCCAGGATTTGCCATGAGCACTTAGATCTGGCAGAAGTGATGAATGCTGAGCTGGTAACTGTGAGGTGTGATGGAGGTTACCTGGTTTGGCTGCAGTGCCGTGGTAGCAACACTTGAGAATTCCAGCCACAGGTGAAGTCTCCCCCTGCATTGCAGACACTATTTCTGCTAGCAAAATGTTTCATGGTAAATAAAACCACGTCCTGGCTCAGGTGTTAAAAATGTGAGCCGTGTCCTACAAGGCTTAGATCCGTACATCATTTAATGTATAGGCTACTGCCACTGGCTCCAGCTGATTCTGAGATATACCTGGAAGCAGAGAATAAACACAAATTAGATACTCTTCTGTTCTTCAGTCCTTACAGTTTGTAAATCAGGGTCTGGTGTTTTTAGGTTCCTGGTTTCAAGACTGTAGAGCAGCAGATTAAAAAGTCATATTGGGGTTGGTTTAATGTCTGAAAATATTCAGGACATATATTGAAGCTCACTGATTTTCAATTTAGTGCAAAATCATATATTGAAATCTGAGGTGGTTTTTTTACTGTAATAAATTCTACATAAACTTAGACTTCTACTTTGAATTCCGCTGGAAGAGCTGTTTAATATTTTTACTTCCTGTGTTTGTTTTGACTGGAGAGAAGTTAAAACTCAATAATCTTACTCTGTGCTTGAAAAGCATTGCTGGGACTGATGCAGAGAGAAAAAAATGAAATCTTTTTTACCTAATTTGAACAAAATTTTGATATTTAATCAGAGGTGAAGATTTCGGTTTCCATTCCTTTTCTGCTTCTGGAAATGATGTCTTGGTTCTCCTGTCTAAACTTTCTGGTGCAGAAATAACTTATTTTAAAGGCTTCTAATATTGCTGAAAGACACCTCATTTTGCTGTTAACAAAATGAGCTGATGGGGTATCACTGGCAGATGGGGAGTTCAAGCGAGGACAGCATTCAGTGCATCAAAGATATTTACAATACAAATATGCTCTGTAAGCCTTTGCTTACAGATTTAAAAGTGGGAGTTGCAAGCAGTGGTGCAGTGCCACCTAGGGAATAAGGATTTGCTGGGACTGCCAAGCCATGATTCCAGCTGCCTGGTTTCTCCTTTTTTTACGTTTGTACAAGTTTTACAGCATCAAAATTTGGACAGTACAAAAGCATGTAGAAGGATGTCTTTCCTGATAAGGACCAAAAGTCATGTTGTAGAGGAAAAGTTCAGAAATGTTTTTTAATAGAATTCATGGGTGTCCTGGTGGGGTTAAAAAATTCTCTGCAAAAAGATTTTTAAGTTCAAACTCTCTGGTAAAGAAATGTATCTACAAACATGTGCATGAGTATACTCTGGGCTGTAGAGTGTCATAGTTAGGTTTTTCTGAAGGTACAAGTTGTGTTCCATGGCATGCTGTGTACAGGTAGAGAAGCTGTTGGAATGTGTTCTGTGTAGAAATAGCAGGAAATCATTCTGGTTCACTCAAAAATACAAAGCTAGCCTTAAATAAACTGTCCAAATAAGTTTTCCTAATATTTGGGTTCATCTGATAATTCAAGTAGAATAAATTAAATATTCCAATTCCCCTTTTTTTTCTTAGTAAACAGTGAGATATTTTTAGGTGTAGGTCAGCAACAATGATGTAGTTAACTCTGTCTTTGGCCTGATTAGACAGATCAGTTGCTGGGTATGCTGTGACTGAAGGATGTGGTGCAGCATCACTCTGGGAGGGTGCTGGACCCTCTGGGGTGCTTTGCTGTGCCCTGACGAGCTTGGCTTGGCACCAGCTCAGAGATCTCTGTGCTCCAGCAGCAAAAGCCCAGAGCTTCCTTGCTGTATCAGTTTGGCTTGGACACGTTCCTTGTTCTCCTGGGCCGCATTTGTGGTATCCCAGGCGTTATTGGTCTCCTCGTTGTCAGGTTGTCTTGGTTAACTGGAGAGCTGACTGGTTTGGGGTTGAAGGGGCTTCAGTGGGTTATGTGGAGGAAGTTATCCAACCTCCAGTGGGGTAACTGGGTGTACCAAGTGTTCAGTGGAGCCAGGGAAGCTCTGATTATCCCAGCTCATGTCTTCTGATCGGTGCTGTCGAGGCTGTGATCTCTGTAGCATTATACAGAGTTTGCTTTGTGAACTCCTGAGCATTTGATAACACTTCGTTGCTTGAAATAACCTTAAAATGGAGTGCTTTGTAGAAATTTCTGGCAGTCCTGATAACATCTGAGACCTGTCAAGTGTGAGAGACCAGAGATATGCCCTACAATAAGAATTGATAGGGATGAGGTCCAAAAGTGGTTTTAAAAAGCACCAACCGCGACTGATTGTCTTCTAACGTTGTGTAACCTTACAGGAAGCTGACTGCTATTGCCTTTGGAGACCTGAATCCCTTTCCCTTACGGCAAATCAGGAACAGGAGGACCTACCACCTGGAGAAGGTGCGGCTGGAGCTGACGGAGCTCGAGGCCATTCGCGAGGATTTCCTGCGGGAGCGGGAGACGTGTGTGGAGAAAAGGGACCTCATTAGCGACGATGAGGAGGACAGCTGAGACTGCCCGCCAGGAACTGTCCTTTGGGAGCGAGACCAAAGGGAGGGAACCTCCAAAACACTTTATTCCCCCTGTCAAACAGAATGTAAACGAGTTGCTTTTGGAAATATGCAGGACAGATTTCCAAACCCCAGCACTTTCAGCAGTAGCGCTTTGTGTGGAGGTCAAACACTTCTGTTTACATTGATGTTCATGGAGTCCTTTGTAGAGCACTTAATACCTGTCTCAGTTCAGGCAGTCAGCTTGAACTGCCAGTTGGTTTTTTTCCCCCAGTACACCCTCAATGTCTGGCTGTGAAACCAGAGTGAGAAAGGTCCCTGCTCTGTTTACTGCCCTCATTGCCATTCTGTGTGGTTTTGGTGTAACCCTGTTTTTTTGTAGTGCAGGTTCAATGTGAGAGGACATCATATTTTTTGGTCTCAGATTGGCTCAATTTAGCTATTCCTGAGGTCACTAACTAAAAAGGTATGGAGTGAAGCACAGGAAGAACTTTTACATTCCTTTGTCTTTTCCTGAAGTGACATGAAATGGATCTCCAAACAGAACACTTGAATATTTGTTCTCTAAAGGAAAGCTGAAACAAGTACCTATTTACCACTGAATGTTCAGTGTGTACTGAAACAGTGATATCAAACATCATTTATGCTTTTCAGGGCAGCTGTGTTGATAAAGATTCTCATTAATTCCAAGGGGTTTACAGATCAAATTCTGTTTAGAGCATTTTATTTCTATTCATTTATTTGATTGCAATGTTTCAAAAAAGGTCACAACCAAACTTCAGATATCGTAGAAGAATGGAGCTTGTCACAGGAGTACCATGCTTTAGTAGGTAATTATTTGTGTATCTGTTGAAGGTTTGTTTTGTTATGGTTTGTTTTGTCTTTTTTTTTTTTTAATACTTCTTCCTGTTTAGGACTTAAGGTGAAGTCTTACTCTTTAAGAAGAAACAGTGGTTTTTTTGCATGAATGCAGACCTGTTGTACAATAATGGTAGCTGTTATCAATCAGTCAGTCAGAGGAGCTGAAAGGTCACGAATTGAAGATCCTTTTCCAACAGAAAAATGCAATATTCTCTTCTGTGCTCAGCTTTACTGTGGGTGTTGGATGCTCATCCTGCAAGACAGCTGTAAGGAGACACCTGGGGGTTGAGCTGCAGTGTTTCTGCTGTGACTGGAGGCTGCTCTTTCTCCTTTCATGAGTAGAAGTTCTGAGGATGAGGAGGGTGTCCTTCTTGCTGGCTACTCTCTGGACTTTGCAGTGTTTTTTCTTAAACTGTTATATCTTCAGGCTGTTGGATCAACTTAAATGTTGTGTCATGGTAAATCCAGGATTCAAATACTAGGCAGCAAATCACGCAGCTCTGGGGAAGTGGTTAATTGGCACAAAACCAAAATGAGTAATTGGGACGAGTCAAGTGCATCCAGCTTTTATTTCTTGTGTTTTGTTTTTCTGAGATGTAGCTAGTGCTTTATTGGGTATAGTCATGTAATCATTTATAAACTTAAGTGTGTGTGCAAAGGGAAATCTTGCTTTTGTTTCATGGCACTTTTTTTTATTTTATTTTAGAGAATTTAGTTGTAGCCTTCTCCAAGTAAGCATATTATAAGTTAGTTTATCTAGAGGGGAAGTATTTAATCAGAGGTGAAGTTGTAACTTAGAGAACTACTTTTGATGTAAAATATGCTTCCTATATGACAAAATTTTTACTTAGCCAGCAAATCATTGCCAATGAGGGACCCATGATGTGATCATCTTGATTTGTATGTTCTTTATCTTCTAAAATGTCCCCTGCCTTGTCTATTGCAAGTAGTAGTTTAGGGTTTTTTTAAAGTCCCTAGTTAGTCTTGGTTGTGTCCTGGAGTTCATCAGGCAGGGTTTTGATATTATTGCATGTACTGTATTCTTTTTCTACTTACAATCAGTATTTGAATACAAAAATGGGACCAGGTTTTCTAATTTTCTAGTTATGCTGTCTTGGTTTTGAAAGAGCTGGTCTCTAAATCAATCTGTCAGGTTGGCTTTTTTCTTGTTTATTTGCTTTAATGTTTTCAAGTGTTAAAGTTGTGGGGTTTTTTTTCCTAAGCTGAAGATCTTTCTTTCAGTGGCCACTATTGAGATACTAAGGTGAAGAACTTAAAGTATGTACCTACCCTGTTTCTACAATCTGCTATTCTTTGGGTTTGAGTCTTCACTATGAACTAGTCCTATGACTTTAGGAGATGTTTCCAGACCGATTCCATTGAAGTCTTTAGGTTGTGAAGATAAAACTAACCATAGGGCAACTGTTCAGGAAGTTCTCAGCTGAGAAAACAGGACCTGTTACAAGACCACTTTTTTGTTCCAGTTGTTCTGGTGGTTAAATTTGTGTGTGCCTGTGTTGTGTGTTTCATTATATAAGTTGTTACCCAGTTGTACAGTAAAAATAAGTAGCTGTTTCTTCTGCCAGGGTGTGACTCCAATCCATGAATGTAGGAACCTTGTGCAAGTCATGTTGTCTCCAGGTTTTTTGTCACCTTGCAAATATGAAATGAGTCGATGCTGTTATGCTCAAGTTCCAAACAAGCTGTTGGCTTCATTTTGTTAAGCCTCTTTGCTGATTCAGTGATGAGTTAGAAGGTCAAAAAGTTGCAGAGGGATCTAAGCTCTGGCCACTAGAAGTCTCCAGGGAGCAGAAACGAGAAGCAGGCAGCAGGAAGCGCCCTCAGGGGCAGCTTGCCCTGCTTGCTGTTGCAAATGTCTTAAGGTGACTTGGTTTTTTAGTGGTAACTTTGAAGAGCAGTAACTCCTTAGGGACATGCAGGATACTGAGGCAGTACTGACACTGCTGGAACCAAGCCAAAATCCAGAGTGACTCAGGGTCTGCAGAAGCTGAAGTGCAGAGATGCTTGGGTGGGAGCTTGTGAAGTGGTGCCCGAGGGTTGAACACTCCTGCCAGCCAGCTGAGAGGAGATTGAGCTGTTAATGCAAATAAAGACTGCCAAGATGATTTTTTAACTTCAAGGTGATGCACATATGTGCCAAGAGTTCCTTATGCATGGTTCCCACAATATGTGATGTAAACCAAACCACTAAGTTGCATCTTGCAGAATATTCTTCTATCTCCTTACATGTGTGCAAAGCTTCCCAATGAAACTTCTGGTTACCTGTATAAAATGTTGTATTACCTTCTGTTAAATAGGCCAAAAATTGGGGCACTACACCTCTAGTTAGTAGAACTGCACAGTATTTCAGCTCTACCTGCCTGTGGGTACAGGTGGTGTTATCATCCAGTGTTATGACATTGTTTGGTGGTGTTCTTTTTACCAGCTGTGTGATCAGTAAAAAGGATTTTTTGTTGCCCTGTAGTTGTCTTCTGTGAGAGGTTCTCCCCTTCCTCATAGTTTTTGTAACCATGGTAAGATATTTCAGCAGAAAGGGAAAGATTTTTTTTTTTCTTTCTGGAGGCATCAGGAATGACTGAATGGTGTCAAATTTGCCAGAGTTGTATGTTCACTCATGTTTAACTGAGAAATGGAAAATGGATTAATTTAATGAAATTGTGTAGCAGTTTGTGACTGTTCCCTTAAGTGCCATGTCAGAAATCAGCAATATGCGGTACAAGAAATATGAATCACAAAACAGAAGTGATATTATCTTCATAAAGATCAATGTAAAGAAAAAAATAAATTGTTTATTACTTGCTTAATTGTTTATAGCTTGCTTTTGTTCTTTTTTTTTTTTCTTCCATAACAGATGAAAATGTCTGCAGGTGCAATCAGAACAAACCAGTAGCAGAGCTTGTATTTTTGTCTGATACTGTGATTTGAGAGAATCCAATTGGGCTTTGAAGCTTGAAGATGTGAAGTATAAACATGTTGCATGCAGGTGATGCTGACTGGGTCAACTTGGGATTGGTGTCCTTAGTTTCTTGGGAGAGGAGGGAAGGGAAGATGAAATAATCATGAGTGTTCGCAGGGAACACACTTTCTAGGAAACATGGATTTGTGTGATCTCTCCTGACACCAGAAGCCTCCCTTGGAGGCTCAGTACTGATGTTCTGCTAAAGGCTTTGTACTCCAATGCATAATATCAGCTGCTTTGAAAATTTAACCAAGTACTGAATTAATTTGGAAATCCTGTCCCAATGTCTGTCTTGCAGATATAACTTTTGCATTGTGGAGTTGCTTTATTCCCTTAAAGAGGCTATCAAGTACCTCAGCTGCTTCTGATAGAAAACTTAACAGCTAAAGGTTTGTGAGGGAGGAAAAAACAGGAGTTGACTTAACTTCCGTGTCCAAGCAGATCTTTAATAAGTAGAGGTGAACAGTGCACTGTTCTTGTGCTCTGGCTCTGCTACAGAATGGCAAGCTGTTATAGCAGGAGATATGGCACAGCTGGAAATCGGTTCAAAGGGGTTGCAAAACAGGATAGAGATCAGCAGCTGAGGCAGAACATGACTATGGCCTAAGGACCTCCTGTCCTGTATACTGCAAACTGAAGTCAGAAGTAAACAGAAAATTCTGGGAAGAGTGCACAGAGAGCAATGTCCTCACTTGGACACTTGGCATATTTAGCTTGAGCAGGTTGTGTTGCCCTTGCAGCTGCTGAGGCCTGCACAGAACAGCTGAGACTCCCATTTGCTCCTTGAGACATCTGTTCTCAGTGGAATTGCAATAAGGATGTGAGTGGGGCTTAGGCTGGTTCCTAAGCAATGCATAACTTAGAGAGAGGATAAACACAGTTGGCCTACTCTGAACTGAGCCCCAGTGCCTGCAGGGCCTCACTGTGTTCTGGGTGCCTCAGAGGAGCAGAGCATGCACTGAACCTGCTGGCATTACAGCATGTCAGGTGTTCATTCTGTGGGATTTTCAGGAGTGCTAAACATAGCTTCCTTATCTGCAGCCCCTTGACCTCAGCTGAAAGCAGAACCCATGTAGTGCTGAAGCTTTAGGAATTCCCACACAAGTACCTTCCCTCAGATAATGCAAAGGAAGGGTGTGCTCTGGCTTGGAAACTCCCTCCCTGCAAAAGAAGGTAAAAGGTTCAGTCACAAGAAAGTTAGTGGTGTTCTGTGCTGTAGGAGCCACACTTGTCTTCAGCTCAGTGATGGCCATCTGTAGTGCCAGCTTTTCAGAGGATGAGAGTAGAAAGCAAAGCTCAGGACTGTACACGAGATGTGATTTTAAAAACCAAACAGTTACTTAATAAGAAAACTTAACTATGCTCGACCCTAAATTAGTCTGGGGTGTTGTAAAAAGAGGTAATTAAAACATCTGATACTAGAATATACCTGTTAAATGAAGAGGACTTTGGCCTTAAGTAACATTCTCCTGCCCTTGAGCAATTGCATCCTGCCTGCATCCCTCAAATGCAGTGGATCTTTGGTGTGTACAAACCAGTCCCATTTTTGCAGTGAGCTGCCTCTAAGACTTCAGGCTTGTGCTAAGGAACAGACTCAGTGATGTCTTCAGGCACTGTGATTGGTGATTAAACTGTAAAATAAGCTATTTGCCTTTTTTAATAAATGCAGGTGGTGTTTTTCTGGTGTTTGATCCTGGGACTCCCCCTTGGGAACATAAGGTAGGGCCTTCCTTCTCCTTCACTTCCTAAAGGGGTCTGGTAAATGCATGGCTGCAGCCTTTGCTGGTGCTGCCTACTGGAAACACTGCTCAGCTCTGACTTTTCCTTTCTGTGCTTGTCCTGTATGCATGTCAAGGCTTCCACCTTCATTGCCAAAGATGTTACAGAGAAGTCTGAGTTAGTGTTGTAACGGTGAACAACTACAGAATGATTCAGGAGCTGCATCTTCCTTAGGCAGAACCTGTGCTTGGGCTTGCAAACCCTATGGACATGGCACCAGGGATGGGATTCAGTCTACCCTTGCTCTTGGAAACCTTGCAGGGCTGGCCAGCAAATGGGAAATTCAAATTGGGGTTATTCGGGGTCTAGGGAGAACTTGTCCCAATTTGAAAAGCAGTTGTGCTGTTTTGTTCCCTTCCTTGCAGCTTGGAGCAAACAAAAGAGGTGGCCTTCCTGCTGTGCCCTTTGCTCTGGGAATTTTTATAGGACGATTGCTGTGACTTCCACATGATCATATCACATTGTAGAGCTGAAGGCGAGGAATGCAGTGTCTTTATTTCCCTTTCAGAGAGTTCTGAATACTTCCACTGCCCTTTGAAACCTTTACTATTGCTTCCCTTTCCTGTTCTCAACCCTGTGTAATATCAGCTGCAGCCACTTTCCTTTTGGAATTGGGAGAGCTGGGTGGAACCCGTGGGCTGTGACCACTCCCAGGGCAGGCAAGCAGGGCATAGTTCGTCCTCTTGACTTCAAACAAGTCTGAACCAAAGTTTCTTTTCAACTGTGATAATAAAAAGCACTGTCTTTAAGCACTTGCCTAGAACAAAATTATTTTTTAATTCATCTATCTTTGCATCTTACTGCAAATGGAAACAGCCTTCCTAATTATGTATGGTAAGTTACCATAGCTTTGTGTTACATTAACCACAGGGAGAATTGGAAGTGAGGGCAACCTGGCACTTGTATTTGATTTTGAAGGTGTGAACAATCCCACATCATTCCTCATTAACAAATGATGGATATTAACTTGCCCAGAATAAATGTAAGGAGGCCAAACAGTATTTATTGCAATTACTGCCTGCCAAATAAAGAGGGAGAAAATCTAGTTTTACAGGTTTTGAGGATGTCTCTGTGATAGGAGAGTGAGCCTATGAAGGATGTCATTGCTGGTAGCCAACACTTGGGGGGGGGGGGGGCAGCTTGGAAAGCAGAGTGGCAGAGGTTTGTTGGGGTCGTGCAGGTTAATGCAGCTTGAGGTGCACAGTGAGGACTGGGGACTTATCATTATATCTCATTCTTTATATTGTTTTATATCGCAGCACTTTCTTGAACAAGCAGTGGGCAATTTCACTGGGTGAGTCAGACCACACAATAACCAAGCTAGGCTCGTATACAGAACAAGGGTTATGCTACTTGCCTTATTTTCTTGGTATTGTTTTCATGTGTCTACTAAAGCAAAGAAATCAGGTTCTACCTCTGCACTGTTCCCCGATCAGTGTGGGCGGGCTGAGCTGCTCTGCTTCGGACCGGCCCAGGGTGGTCTGTCCGCATCCCACACGCGGGAATGCGGGGCTCTCACAGCCCCACGGCACTGCTGCGGCCGCGCCAGGAGCCGCGGAACGGGACACACCGACCGCCCTGTCCCCGAGGATACCCCGGGCCCCGCCGCCCCCGCGGGGCTGCCCTGGGCGGAGCGCGGGGCCGGGCCCTCCCTCTGCCCTCCCTCTGCCCTCCCTCGCTCTCGGCACGGGGCGGGCACGGCCCCCTCAGGCTCCCTGCTCCGGGCACGGCCCCCTCAGCCTCCCTCCTCCGGCACGGCCCCCTCAGGCTCCTGCCGGCCCCGACCCTCCCCGCCCGGCGGACGCGGTAAGTGGGCGCTTCCCCCCTCAGCCCGCTCTCCGTGTTCTCGCCCTGCGCCCCTTGCACCGAGCCGCCCTCACGCTGCCCCCGGTCCGTGTGCCGCGGTTCGGGGCGAGCCGAGGTGTCCGGCCGGGCGGGCTGGGGGTGCCCCGGTGTGTCCCTGCCGCGGGCCGGGCTGTCGGCGGTGCGGGCGCTGTCCCCGCTCGCACGGGCAGTGCCGGCTCCTCCCGCAGCCACCCGGGGAAGGGCAGCTCCCGCAGCACCCCCTCGGTGAGCAGCTGTCCTTCGTCCCCAGGCAGCTCCCCCAGGGCTGGGCAGTCCAGCCATTCCACAGACACCCCGCTACCTGCTGGCACCGCTCGGCCCGGCCGTGTCTCTGCCCGAAGCCGCTGGGGACAGTGGGACAGTCGGTCCGGGGTTCGCCCCTCAGCTCGCTGGCACCGTTCGGGCAGCGCTGTGCAACCTCATCGTGTTTATCCCCGCGTTCCTTCCTGCCTTTTCCCTCGCACAGCGTCCCTCGGGGTGCGGTGGGTTTCTGTACACCTGCTCCTCTGGGGGTCCTGGAGCAGCAGCGCAGGGGGACTGGTTTGGCCTGGCCTGCATCCTTTTAGAGGACAGTCAAAAAGGAAGATGTGAATTAAAGGGTGGAAACGTGCGGCAACTGCTCCTGCTTTGGCTGGTCACCCAGCACCCGCTGAGGACCGCGGTCGGAGCGCTCATCTGCTTGCTCTGTGGGGAAAAGCGCAACTCTGCCCCTTTGGAGAGGTGTTTGCTCTGAAACATCAGTAGGTTTCAGACCTTCCCATTGCTTTTTTATTTATACGGAAAACGTGCGGTGGCAGAGGCGACTTTGGGGCAGTGATGCGCCTTATCTGCGGCGGTAATCCTTGCGGGCGCCTCGGGGACGGGAGCGGGCAGTGCCCCGCGGTGCCAGCGTGCCTGGCATTGCGGGCTTCCCCTGCTCCCCTGTCCCGGAGCTCGCACCGGGATCATCGCTCAGGCACGCGAGGATCTGGGATCGCTTACAGCGCCAGCCCCGGCCCCTGGCTGCGAGCTGCGAGCTGCAATTAGCTGCAGAGCCAGCGCCTTTGGTACGTGTGCCTGAAGCTTGGAAATACAGCCCCGGGTCATTCACCACACATGTAATTACCGCGGGGTAAATTTGGGATCCCTTGAGAGTCACTGCCAGGAGCTGTGGTTCCATAATGGGACTGAGTGCTCAGACGGTGGGTGTGTTTTGTGTCCGCTATAGACACGTAGGCAGTAATAACTGCCTCAGTTCTCTGACAAATTTTTAGGCTGCTTTTGTTTTCTGAGAGGAAAATATTTTGGTGAAAGTAAGAGTTTTGATGAAATTAATATAATTTTTAACTGTGCTAGATTTATTTGAAAGCAAAGGGTAAGAACTACTTGGGTGGTTTGGGTTTGAGGGTTTTTTCCTGTTGGATAAAAGAAAAGAGAAGGAAATGTGAAAGAAGGAGTGAAAGTGAAAGAAAGGTGCAAGAGGAAAACACTTTAATTTTTATAAAAATCTGTTTTCTTTTAGCCTAGGGCACCAAAACTAGAAGACAATATAACTTTCATTTGTTTGGTGGGTTTGATTTTTTTAAAATTTTTTATTTTTTTCCCACCCAAATGATTAATTTAAAACAGTCCAGTTTTGTTTCTAAACTCTTTTGGTAGTTTTTTCAGAATTATAAAACAGTTCATAAGGGAAGTTGATGCTTTGGTCTGTTCTAATGTGTTTTGGATTTTGCTTTAGTATAACTGTTGTTTTGTCATATAAAAACATGCCACAGGGGATGGTTCTGAGGTTGACAAAGGGTTTAGTCATTCAGCTCATGTCAGGTGTACTTGAGAAAGTAAGATGAGTCAGCTGTTACCTCAGTCACTTGAAACTGGTTTCCTTAGAGTAGAAGACACCCTAAAGGAAAAAAAATCTAAAGCTGCTGGCAAGGCAAATGGTCCAACAGTTTTGGTGTCACCTCTGTTTTCTGTAATCTGCTCTCATTCAGTGGTGGGTGGACACTTATCATGGTTTGACATGTATAGACCAGTCACTGATTGTCCCATAATTTGGTAATGACCAGCTAATAACTTCCCTGTGCAGAGAAACCTTTATTAAAGGAGAGAAATAGAACCTACTTTCTTCTGCTCCTCCTAAGGCAGACTCTGTCACCCTCTACAGAAGAGTGGCTTTCAGTACATTAATTTGTCTTTTCACACAGCACAAGCTGCTCTTCTGTGCTGGAAGAAGAATGTCTGTACCCAGATACTGATAGAAAGTATGTGTTTAAGTTTGTGCCTTAGATCACAATGGGAAACTGATTTCTTAGGGTAAAAAAGCTCCCATTTCATGGTACAGCAGAGTTTAGGAATGTGAAGAGATTAGGCAGGAGATGTTTCTAGTGCCTGAAACTGCCATCTCAGAGGCCTGTATTCTATTTCTGGCTTTGCTAGAGCTTTGTTACACATCTGTAGGAAAATCGTTTGCCCAGGGTAAGCAATGCTTTGCTGCCTTGGGGTATTTGGTCTGTGTAAACAAGAGTTGGATACAGCAGCAAAGGGTGAGGTATTTTATACTTATATTAAGCATTTACTATACTATGGAGTGTCATTATGGAAACACAGCAATACAGATGCTGAGTAGAGGCTGGCCTTGCTATGGAAATGCTCAGGAAAAAAAGTGGCTTGTTCTATTTCCTGAATGTACAACTTTTTTGTCTGAGTGAGTCAGAGATGAATTGACCATCTCTAATTCATTTCTACTTTCACTTATCACCATAAGTGAAATCACCACCTCACTAGAGGAAAAAAAATAATGAGGCTCTCATTCCTCCTTTGATGTTCTTGTGCTCTGTACTTGCAAATGGAGTCCAACAAAACTTGTAGTCTAAAAAATCTTTGGAAGTGAAATCTCCTTCATTTCCTAAGTTCCGTGTATAATATTTATGGAGCGTTATGTTCCTGCTGGGGAATGGCATTTTTATTTCGGGTGAATTTTAAGTGTGTGAAGGTTGTCTGTTGTTGGCCTATCCCCCTTGTGCTGTGTGTTTGCTAATGGCAATTGTTTTGGGTCATCAAGTGTGTGATCTATTTTGGGCATCTGCTAACTGTGGCTGTTGGGTGGGAGCCAGGGAGAGATGTCTGTGGAAGGCAGGACTGGATAACGGGAGTGATGGACGTGGGAAACACCAACACACCAGAGGTGCCCCTGGGGGGTCTGAACACTTTGCAGCAGTTTTGCCTTCAGCCTTCAAAAACAAGGCTCTAGGCTGAAAAGGGTGCAAGTTAAAACATCAGTAAAAGGGACTAGAATTGTTTGGTTATCTTTGAGATAATATTGCATGAGTTCTATGCACCTGCAGAATTTGCTTTGTTCTTTGGAGGGTGCTGGGAGAGGAGTGAACTTGTCAATCAAACATAAAAGTGACTGTGTTCCCAGAGGCATTTTGGGTGGGTTCCCCACTCTCAAAGCAGTGTTTTTAACTTGCTCTTCTGAATGGCAATGAACCCTCTCTGCAAACAATTATTTTTTAGGTGTGTTTGCATTAATGTTGTTTATAACCATGTACCTGGGATTCTGATGAGGGGAGTAGTCAGCTTGAGGGATTTACCATCTTTGGGCAAGTCTCAGCAGTGTCTCTTCATACCTGGGCATTTTCCTGCACTTGACTTTTGCATGTGCTCAGAACTTAATTTTGCAGTTCAAGGTGAGCAAAAGGTTTGGGGTTTTGAGCAAGGCTTGGTATCGTCCTTTGTTTGCTTTTTTGAAGTCTGTGAGGGCTGAACTGGTTTTTCACCAACACCTCAGAAAATTCTGCTCTGAACAATTTTAAGCAGCATCAGACAAACTTAATAAGGAGCCAGTAGCTCAGAGGTGTCCTCGTTCTTGTAAATGCTGCTAAAACATTTATTGACTGTGGTTTCAAGCCCTGAGCAATATTGGTCAATGAGCTTTCTGTGAAATTATGAAAGATTGCTTGAAGAATACACTAATTTGCATACAAAGTGCAGTTTGTTTTCATTGAGAAGAAAAATAGACCTTTTTGTCCCAGGCGTGAATGTGGCTTTGGGAAGGAAATTAATGAGCAGAGTAACAGAACAGCTCACCCGGCTTTGCCTTGACAAACTGAAAATACAGACAAAGGCAGAAAATGGCTGAGGAAGTATTGGGGTGGAAAGTGGAAGTGGAAAGAAATAACCCACGTTGTAGCACATCATTCTCACCACTGACAAGTGTTGGTTTCTGCAGTGTATTTTAATGGTGTGATGGTTATTGTGGGCTTCAGTGTCACAACCAGTGTGGTTTCTCTCTGATGGAAACAGGTACCACTTCTCAACCTGTGTGTTGTGTAATTAGTGCTCACTGCCTAATAAGGGGACATCTGATTTTGTTGATACCCCTTTACTTATTGCTACTGTTTTTTGAAAGAGTGAAAGTAATTCCCAGCTCCTGTCAATGTAAGCATTGATGTAGTAGCCCTTCTGCTTGAAATAAAGCAGTCGAATAATTTTCCTCCTAGGTTTTGCTCACATCAACCAAAAAATATATGTAGAAGCACTAAGAGACTATTTCTGTTCCTTTGAAGCAACAAAAGGAGCAGATTTTGAAAAGAATTGAATTGATACTCAACATTCCACCCATGTGTTAGAAGCCAATGGTTTCTAGAAGGGGTGGGGGCACACAAAGCAGCTGGTCCTTTTGCTGAGGTGAGTGCATGACAAAAAGTGGGTGCATTTTGGTGAGCTATTGAATTTTTACAAAGTATTTGCTGCTTATGATATATGCTTTTGTCAGAGAAAAATCTTCAAATTATGTGCATTTCAAGTTGACAGGAATACTGCAATTGCTCTTTGGTGCTTAGTCCTGTTCTATAATAAGTCTGCTGATCTATCAAAACAGCTGAATCTTCTCGCAACATTGAGTTGAGCTTATTTCTAAAGGATCAAAATAGAGCTTTATTTTGTAGTGAAATATGCTTCACAGCTTGCCCCAGTGAGATGCCAACCACTGCTATTTAAAAACATGCAGGAGCTGTGTAGAAATGTAGAACCTGGAAGTGCCCAGTGCATCTGAAGCAAGAAGCATCTGGGATTCATACAGAAAAGCACATTACATGGACAAGTACAGATATGGTGCTGAAGCCTAGAGATGTGTGAGAATAACTGCATGGCTCAATGTAGTTAGATTTTATTGTGATGCTTGGAGGCCTCACAGCTATTTTGTGTGTTCTGATCTGAATAGTGGACGTCGTTTGGGCTGTTGGGGATGATGCCAGTGTTCATCTACACAGGGAACATCAAACATGTCCTAACCTGACCGGTTATTCTGGTCAAATCTATTCTGTCACCATGACTTGTGTTGCTGTGGAGGTGTGTCCCAAGCAATAATGTGATTTCTGATCATCTTCCCATCCCAAAGCAGCCCAGCATAATGCACTCACAGATGCTCAAATGCACCAAGGAGAGGCTTGTCTTTCCAGACCTCACCGAGCTCATCAGCTTAAAAGATTGTGGTCAGGAAACAATGGCACAGACCACGCAGAGTAACAAGTGCTGCTTGTGTTCTCCTCATCTGAAACATCCAGTGTGTGGGGAAAGATGTGCTGAAAGCTCTGTAGGTGGGATCACAAAGCCTTTTCACAGCAGCAGCTCAGGTATCTGTTTGCTGTCCTGCCTGTGTGCCCCAGGAGCTCTGCCTGACCTGAGCAAAAGGAAGCTCTGCCTGGTGCTCTCCCTGGCTCAGGATCTGCCTGCTGACACTTTTTACTGAAGGAGCCTGTAATGCTGATTCTCATGCTGGCTCTTTAGTGCAGTGTAGAGGCTTTTTTGTCCGTAAGTTTGTTAAATTATTAATTAATTGCTTTGCTTTCATCACATTTGTGTTTCAAGGTGTGTTCTGTTCTTTTGGTTCAGTATGTGCTCAGGTACATCAGTGAGGGCCAGGAATCACCTTCACTTAAGGGTGCTCACCTCTTTCCAGGTTTGAACCCTCACTGTGTGGGTGAGACTGCTAAATTAATTATTTTGATTGATCAGTGGTAACTTTGGCCATGAATGAGCTGCAGTGGATCCAAAGTGACTGTACCAAAGTGTGTGTTACTGACACTTGGCCTCTTGGAAGACCCTAATGAATGTCACTCTTTATTAATATTCCAGTTGCATCACCTTTGAGCATCAATGAAAGACCAGGCATGGCTTTCTTCAAGCAGCAGAAGGTGGAGGACGTTTATGACATTGGGGAAGAGCTGGGAAGGTAAGGATGCACTGCTGACACCAGATGATTCTAAAAGCTGCCACGGGGGATATTTGCCATGTATCTTCAAACTATGACTCTGCATGCTAGCCTAAATCAGTCACAGTACACAACACAAACACAACCCCTGACCAAAACTGCACTTTGGATATTTTAGGTTTTTTTTTAGTTGAAGTGTGCTAACTATGTTTCCTGTTTCTTTTTTTGCAACTAGGACAACAAAAGGTATGTTCACATTGTCTTTCATAGATAGGTGTCTGTGTCTGTGCTGTAGACTGAGTTCACCTGCCCGTTCCCTGGGCCAGCTGGGGAACAGGAACATCCTGTGCTGTTGTCACAGAGACAGCACTTGATTTTTGTCTGGTTCTGGCCAGCCCTGCTCAGCACTGTGACACAGCACATCCATACCTGCAAAACACCGTGCTTGTGTTCCTGAAAAGATTTACCTGTCGGGATTTCAGCTGGACTGGTTGATGCCTCTGTATAGCTTTTCATCCATAAAGGCTAATCTGCAGGTATTAATTACAGCTGTAATTACCAGCTGTGATCATGCTTCACCATAAGCACCTGCTGAAACACTCTGCTGGGTGTGTGGGCTGGACACACAGGGCTCCCCCAGCCCTAAGTAACATGCAGAGCTCTGGGTGAGGAGAGCTGCTGTCCAGCCCTCCAGTGTTTTCCTTTTTAATATGTAAATAGCTAAATTAGGGCTGTAGACACGTGCTTCTTTCCCAATGTCTGGCAGTTGGTTTTGGTAAATAACTGTGTATGTGCAATTACCCTTTTTCAAGGGCCAATAATTTAGTTCCATTAAAACACTTCAGCTGAAGCTGTTTGCCTGCCAAATCTTTTGTTTTTTTCACTCTCAGCTGTTTCACCTTTAGAGTTGGTGAGAAAAACTTCTTTTAAGGGGAATGGGGTTCGTTTGGTTGGTTGTTTTCCATTCCCTTCCCTCTCAGGAAGGCCTTAACTATTAACTTTTCTGTACTTGCTTACTTTTGAGTACTGACTAGCACTGAGAGTATCAGTCTGACAGTGCAAACCTGACCACAGTGAGCAGTGTAGGAATTCAGTGTGTGTGTGTGTGTGTGTGTGTGCAGGGTGTAATTGCTGTGGTTTTTTAACCTAGGAGGCCCTAGTATGTGCTGGACCAGTCAAACTGCCAAAGGGAGAGACTGGAGACTGAGTAGCTTAATTTTAATTTGGTTTCCGAATTGGATTTGGGAATCTTTTGAGATGATGAACATCACTCTCCTCTTCCAGCTGATGGATATTTGGCACTTTGAATGGAGGGGTTGTTGAAGCAACGTGGTAGAGGCTGGCCATTGCTGTTGAATCACCCTGAGAGGCCTCAGGCTGGTGAAGGTTTGTGTGGTCAGAGCAGCCCTCCTCCTCCCCTGGCTGCAGGTACAATGTCACACTGTCTTTGGCAGTGTGTTTTCACTTTCACGTGTGAGGAGCTCTGCAGAGCTCTTGTTTCAGCTCTGTTAAATGTGAAGTGTCACCTGGTTCATCATACCTGTATATCTCTGAGCAGGAACTACTGATAAGGGCCAGTGATAAATGATATCTTGCTTTGTTAGAAGCAGAATAACATGCTGGACAGATTGCAGTGACTGATGTGTTCCACTGCTGACTGATGCCCTTAGAACCCGGGGATGCCTTTTATTAGTTCACTGTGTTTGCAACAAGCTGTTGGTTGCTGGCAGGTAAAAGGGCTCCTTTATTGTAATTTTGGCAGCAGGAGTCACTTACAAAACTAAGGTTTCCAAACACCATCTGTGAAGAGTCTGTCCTGTTCTCGTCCTCCTGAGCCTGACTTCTTGAGAGCAAAAGTAGTTGTTAATACAGGACTAAATCCTTGTTCTGGCTCAGCCATAAGATGGAATGGAGGCTGTCACTGCCAGAGCCAGCACCTGCTTGACTGTTTGCACAGCACCAGGGAAGGGACGCTCCCGTGACACAGCAAATGCTGCTTCCCAGGGCCGAGCTGGGTCTGGGCTGGTGGTGGCATGAGACATTCCTGTCCTTGGGCAGCAAAGGCTCCTCAGCCCCCACTGTGCAAACCCTGCAAACAGCATTTGTGACTCCTCAACCAGACCACACTCACGGTCCCTGCTGGGCTGGCAGCAGCTCAGAGGGTGCTCTGAGGGCAGTTGTGTCCTGAGCCCGGGCAGTGGTGTGAGGGCAGGCCCTCTGCAGGAAGGGGGAGCAGGTTTTCCATGGCTGCAGCTGTGTGTTCAACTCACTGCTTGGCTCCAACATCCCCTCAGTCTTTCAAATATTAATCTTAGGTTTACAGCTCTGTTGCTCAATTTCTCCAAAGGGTAAATGCAGGGAACGATGAGTCAGGCACTTGGTGTTGGAGACAAGTTGCTGATGGCCTTGTCCCTTGTAGCAGCTGAATGTGTGCAATACTTGAAATACACACATATAACCAAGTTACTTCCCCAATATCAGCCAGTTTGCAAGTCTAAAGTCTGTGTGGACTGAGGTTCTCTAACCACAGCTGAAAGGGAACCTAAAAAGAGGAGCCTATAAAATGAATTTAGCACATTGTTTCCACATTGTAAGCAAATATTACAGCTTATTGCTAGGATATTCAAATATTAATTTCTTTCTTTGTCAAAATTGATGGCAAGAAAAGGAGAGAGTTCAGGAAACTTATTTGAAAATGAATATGTATGAGGATTTATTTAAAAAGCCCTCAGTTTTACTAGGCTGGCAGTCTAGAAGAGGTAGAAAGCAACGTGGACTAAAGTGATCAGTGCCTGCAGAGGTATTAGGAGATTGTCTTCTCTCTCCCTCTCTCCCAAGGGTGCTAGATAGTGTGATTTGGGAGTACCTTTTTTAGTCCTCCCCAGCATTTAATGCTGTCACTCTTTGCAGGTGTCAGACTCTCTGGCAGATTGAGTTTTTCTGTGCCTGAGCTGTTGATCAAAAATAGATGCTTCAAAACTTATTTTTCACAGAATGTTTTCAATATGTATCCCTTTGCAAATGTGAGTTTATGTTGCTAAACGCCTGTTTTATTCAAGTAATGAAAAACTGCATCCTTTAATTTTGATTTTAATAAACTTTGTGAGAAACATTAACAGATTTGCCTGTTTTGAGCAGGATCCTGGTCTAAGCCCTTTGCAGGAACGTTGTAGCAGATCATTCTTGATTTATAAAAGGCTGTACCACGGAGCCATTAATCTCTTTCCTAAATGTGTTGCCAGCCAGGCTGTGAGAGCTGTTGACATTTGTGCCTCCTGGGCAGTGTCACTGTTACAGGTCTGAGGGTGGGAAGTGCCACAGAGCTCATCCCAAAGTGTTCTGTGCCAGTGCCCACTGAGAAGGTGTGTCCCTGCAGGGGGGTGTGAGGGTGGCAGTGTCCTGGGGCAGTGTCCTGCTCCCTGCAGCTCAGCTCTGCAGCATGGGAGGGCTCACACTGAACAGAGGCACTCCACAAACCCCAGAGGGATGTCTGTGGGCGTGGAAGTCTCCCCTCTTCACTGCGGGAAGGAGCTCTGCCTTCCTCCAGCGTGGGCCAGCCTTTCCAGTTGCCACTGCAGTCTCTGGCCTCTCTTACTGACTGGGAGCTGTGCTTATCCCTCATTCCTGGTTCAGTCAATGCCTTTGTGCCAAAGACAATCACTGTGATTTCTCTTGGTTAGTTTGGGCAAAATCAAGTCTTCCTTTCTCAGCCCCTGCTGAGTGAGGCTGAGAGAAAGATAAAACCAAGCTCAGTCTTCCATCAATGGCTCATCATCCCTCCTGTAGTCCCCCCTCTCCAGCTACAGATTCCTACCTCCTCCTTGCCTTGAGACAGGGAAACCCTTTCTTCTGGGTGAAGCCTTAAAGGACAGCAAATAAAACATTTCACCGGTGGTGATGGGACCTTGGAGCCTGCCACACAATCACTGTTCTGACAGGGGAACTACCAAATATTTATTTATGTTGTGAAAACAAAAAGCAGAGATAACTGTAGGGGAGGAACTTGGAAATCCATGATAAAAAGCCATGTCACCCAGCTAGTTGGACTCTCCCTGTAAACACAGAGGTGTGATTGCAGCTGGGAAATTTTCCCTTAACACACCAGGCAGGATCTTCATACCAGGAATTGTTTTCTATCTATAGAAATTGTTCAGTATTGTGCTTTCTCAGACCTTAACTCTGTTCTTAGATTAATTTGTACTTCAAATTAATTCTTTAAATTTTGAAGAATAACCTTGGATTATTTTGTCCTACAACACACACAAAGCAAGTCTTTGCATTAGATGCAAAATGTAAATTTAGTTCTTGAGGACTAACCAGCACCTCTCTTAATGTTCCTTGTTACAAATCTTCTAAGTCATGGGTTTCATGGATAATGAATCTTCTGCTGAAACAGTTCTGGCATGCAGTACTTGGTCAGGATCACTGTGATTGTAATCAGCTGTCTGAAACAGTCGCTGGTTTTGGACTTTTTATATTCTTTATATTCTCAGAATAAGTGCTCTTAGCTTATTCCTTTTTTAAACAGATTTCCCTCTTAATTTTCAACGTTACTTTAACTATTTCCAAATATTTTGATTTGTCACAGAAAGTGCAGAGAAAATGGGAGGTTTTGTTGCTTAGATTTTTTTCTAAAACAAAGCTGCTCTGCCTACAGTAACTGAAAAGATCTGGCCTTGGTGATTTAGACCTGGCCTTGGCCTTACTTTGTAACAAAGTCATGCATTCCTTATCACCAGCATCCACCTTGATGATGGAAGTGATCTCAGTGTATTGCCTCAGTCCATGTCTGGCTTTGAAAGTATAATTAGAGGTGAGTGACCTCCTTGGTAGTGCTCAGGAAGCTCAAATTCTGTAATGTCTTTAACTCTGAATATTAAACAGAATATTAACCCCAGGAAAAAACACTGAAGACTAATTCCAGGAAAAAACACTGAATATTAACCCATCTTTGCCTTGCCATTTTTGTGAAAATGAAACCATTTTTTCCGGTTTGCATTGAGGGGGAAATCAGATGGAAA